ATGCATTTTCAATGACCTTGAAATTCCTGGAACTTTTTACCGTCCTTGAAAATCCATGAATTTCCTGAACAGTGCACACTCATATCGGCATCGAGACCTACTAAATGTAATAGATCGGTGTGTCAAACTCCCCATTTCTGAAGCAGCAATGCAGCGTGGAAGCACATGGTCCCATTTTGCGAAAATGCACGTGAAAAAAGTTTCGTTAACAAGGGTCTCATATTGGCAGACTTGGTGCCTTAGGTTGTATACGAAGGACTATTGGTCAGCTGCCTGCTCGTAATAAGTTCACGTGCTACGTGACGCCACACAGGCTCATAAAAGAGTGTGCCACACTTGCCACCATGGCTACAGATGGCGCTGACTGACAATCCCATGTTTAAATTCACATATATACCCAATAAAATGGCTGGGAGGATAGCCGCCGTGATAGCTCAGAGGTAGAGCATCGAACGCGCTATTCGAAGGTAGCAGGTTCGGTTCCTGCCCACACAAGTTATCTTTTCACCCACTTTTCTTTCTTCACATTTACCTTACAATTCGAATTATAATCTCCCCTATGCTTTCCTTGGCATTATTGTCTGTTAGATTTCATTATTATTGTGTCAAAACATGGAAAAAACAAGCCCTTAGGTGAACACTTCTTTCCCTTAATATATATATATTAAGAGAAAGAAGTGTGTATATATATATATATATATATATATATATATATATATATATATATATATATATATATATATAAGGGAAAGAAGTGTATACCTAAGGGCTCGTTTTTCCGTGTTTTAACACAATATTAATGAGATCTAACAGACAGTATTGCCAAGGAATGTACAGGGGAAGTTATTAGAACTAATGGAATGTAAATAAGAAGAAGGAAGAAAGAAAAGTGGATGAAAAAATAACCAGCCGTTAGACACGGCTGGTTATTTTTTCATCCACTTTTCTTTCTTCCTTCTTCTTATTTACATTCCATTGGTTCTAATAACTTCCCCTGTACATTCCTTGGCAATACTGTCTGTTAGATCTCATATATATAATTAGGCACTCATATAAAATAAGGAAAAATATTTACTGCACTGCTCGAAATATTCTGACCATGTATGGTAAATGTGAAGAATATGTACAGTATCTGGCCAAAATAAAACCTTTAAGCCAGGCAGTTAGCTAGTTGGCTGTTTCATGTTTGAAAGAACCAGGAATTAACCAGAGATGAAAGTTTAAAGGAGCCTGCAGTCCGGCAATACAGTCAAAGCTGCTAGCAAACGTAGAATTCGTGCCATCTCATGTCATCTATGTAAAAGGAGGACGCGGGAGCCCAGCCGGTTGCACCACTAGAGTATGAAGTTCACTTCATCGACGGTAATATCAATTTTTTTTTGCAAACACACATCTGTGCTGTATTTTTCAAAGCAAAAGTTTAGACATTGCAACTAAACCCTGTCGTTGCATGTTTACTTTCAGAATTGTAGATTGGAAAAAAATGGGACAGGTGAGTTGAGGAAGTTATGGGACACTGTTCCATTCCTCCCTATCCTTCTGCAACACTGTAACACAGCACAAAAAAAAAAAGGAAAAAAGATAACACAGAAGCAACAGTATTGAAGTGGGGTAGTTGATACAAATGCATTTTAAATACAAACCATATCTTTGTGTACGACAAGCACTTTTAGTGTTTGTCGAGACAGTCAGCCGCTTACGTCTCTGTGCTCTCGTGATCACCTCCTTAACTTGGCGTGAACCAAAATTAGTATGGGAGTGCAAGATGGTTTGATGAATATGACGCGCTGGTTTAGATATGAAGGTCACAATCCAATCATGTACGCCGTCTAACACTTCCCACCAGACAGTGGCACATACCCGCGGGCAGGTATATGCCACTTGCGGGCAGGTATGTGCCACAGGTGATTGACACTTAGTATCTAACCAGGAACGACAAAAACACACATAGGTAATTTTAACGCGAGAGCGTTAGGAAAAAGCTGACATCAGCAGCGTTGACCTGACAAATGCATAGAATAAATATCAAGGTCCCAGCAGAAATCGAACACAAGCATTCTGCGTGGCACTCAAGTATTCGCCACAGAGCCACACCAGGTCTATGAACTACTTTTCAAGTAGATCCTGATGTTCGTGAACCATCAATTAATTGTGATTGCAGTGCAGGCTATCCAATTTTATGAACATTACATAAGTACTATAATTCAGCCATCACATCGGGTTAACATCAATTGTAGGTAGGGCTGCCATCCTCGTGAGCACCAGTCCTTCATATCAGCTCATCGCTTCTGGTGCTGCCAATAGTACTCATGTTCCTGTTGGAATCGTTAAACATGTGCAAAGAACTGGTTATATAAAGATCTTTGGCTCTTTATATAACTCTTAACATATGTCTGGGCATGCAACATCTGTTCATATATTCTTAGTGCGATTTCCTAACGTGTCGCTCAATAAAAAAATTACACCACTGTCACCTTCTCTCTGTATGCTTGGCATAACGTCGATTCCCAAGTTACGTGGGATCTACCAGAATTTTTTGGCTACAGCACGAAATCGATGAAGACTGAAGGGACACAGAATTGTTAAAAACGCATATAAGAAAGTTGCATAGTGTATCACTCGATGGCACATGCGCTGAGAAGATATGCGAGCTCTTTTTCCTTGAGGGTATATTGATGCCTCACTGAAACATGCTTCATCCAATATGGAAAGCCTCTATCACTTCCCCAGTTATCTGGGATCTATGTTTAGACCAAATCTCTGTATTGGCAAAGGCCGGTGAACAGCCACAAGTGCTGCAGTGCAATGCCAGATGCGAAGCATTAGGATTATTGAGCAAATTTCTGTGCTCTCCGAAGCGCACATTAATGCGTCAGCCGTTCTGCCCCACATATGACCGCTTGCATGTAAGAGGGATCTGGTAAACGATACCGCACTTGCAGGGCACAAATAATTCCACATTCACTTCTTTCCTTGTTATTTTGCTTCATTTTCCTCCGAACCCTTGGACAAATTCTAGAGTTTTTCATGAGGAGCCGAGAATACTGATTTTACCCCATATCTTTGACTAAAATTGCTCAAACCATGCGACAGTTTGTGTACACACGGCGGTATTGCTACAGTTTTGTAGCCTTCCCGTGTGAACTATTTTCTGTTAACATGGTCCCGGCTTTTAACGAATTTTGTGAGCTTTTCTGTATATGTAGCTGGTACATGTGATGGGTACCCGGCACTTTCCAACCTCTTAATCTGTGCTGTGAAGCTATGCTCAAGGCCGCGAGCACATGACTTGGTTACAGGTGATCTTAAGGCCGAGTAAGCTATTCCATTTGTCACCATCTTTGAACGATTTGAAGCACAAGGGAGGTCAGACTTCTGGGACCTCGGAAGGTAGTGCCAACATACATGGTTAGGCTCAAATCCAGGAACTGTAAATTCCTTTCCTTAGTCGGTTACTATAAGAACTCAAGCCATTTCCATGTTCTCAAAAAGCTTTCACTATGTCTGCTGCCCTCCTGTTATAATTACTACAAGGAAAAAAAAAACAAATAATCATTGACATAACGAAACAGTCAGTGCTAAATCCTTAAAGGGGCCGTGAAATACTTTTTCAAGTAACCATGAAATGAATTCCCTGGAAGAGCTTATTGCCTCACGAATCCACCACCGCAAAAATTTTAAGAATTTATCCAGTGCAAGTGGAGTTACAAAGTTTTGTCGCATGCTGCAATTGCATTCTCTCTTCTCTTGTTTCGACGGAAGAGCTGGAAGCTAAGCAGGGAGGGATGGATGGCAGAGCCACAAAAAAGCGTCACACGCCCTGCACGACCTTGAGCGTAGCTTTTTTCAGTGTAATCACGCGTGCACGCGTGTAAGTAGCGTTTCCCGCGGCGATCTCTAACAAGCGAGCACGCCATGTTCAAATCGGCCAGTGGCTGATAGATGGGTCGTTGACGTGCAATTTTTGGGCATATAATGCGATTTATCGAGAGAAGAGAAAGGAAATTTTACCAGACTGATATTTATTGTGAAGTCCAGGATGAAGCTGCCCAGTGTCATGAACTATCGGTGTGAAGACCCCTTTAATGATTGATGTTGAACTGCCAGCTTCTAATGATCATTTAATACACTTGGACCATTGTGTTACATATTGTCACATTGTCACTCCACCCACAGAAGTAGGTGGAATGGGACAGATAACTGCTTTTTTATAGTTGCACCAGGAGCCATAAGAATCAGCGAGTCTCAAGTTTTGCAGCTTGTTTATACCTGTATCCAACATTCAAGTTCAAGAAAACTAAAAATAATTGCAAAAAAAATCTCAATCCTACCAGACTCTCCCCTATTCTGCCCTTTGCTCAGTCTTCACTCCACTAGTGCGTAGCTGCCATATTTTATGGGCACGCACAATCCCTACTTTTGTAACGTTCCACAATTTTCATTCCTTATTTTTTGGCACTAGACATGAACAAACAGCTTATCCACAATGTTCCCACAAAGCAGACATCAGATACGTTGTCATAAAAATACAGCCAAATGAAATAGGTCGGTTCCAAAATACTCACCCTTCACATAGCTAAGGAATGCTCATAGACAAGTTCAATCTGAAATTAGTATTCTCTTAACAAGACTTGGCTTTTTATGCTCTCGGAACATTTTGCCTCTGGCATCTCTGGGACTTCCAGAACTGTGCAGTTAACCTGCTTTGCAACAGGCATGCTCCCGGCAGCAATTTTTGTGTCTTATATGAGATGTCTCTAATAAGCAGGGTTCCACGTTAGGAGTTTTCTCCTCAACCCGTATTTTACTGTAGGCACACTGGTGTCTCTTATACCCATTTGTCTCTTATAAAGGGGTTCATCTGTAGTTCATGTAACACATATGGTTGACTGTTCCACCAAATGTGAGCAGTATCTAGCATTGGAGTTGTTCTGGCCACTTTTCAAATGCACAAGCACAAACGTCCAGCAACTGCAACCAAAGAAATAAAACGGCACCAGTGAAGTGTTTCAGACATTTATTGTCATGTAAAAAAATGTTTTTGAGTCACAATCATAGCTATGTACAGGATAAAAATGACAATGCTATATAGTTCCGCAAAATGCAGGAACCTCAATCAAGATTAGCCTCAACAACCCCGCACACAAGCCCTGCAAATGGTGAAGTACGTGCGAGGACGGGCTAGAAAATGAGACTTGCATATTAAAAGACTAAAAGATCAACAAATACTAATACTGCCACTGCACCAGACCATCGTCGTCTGGAGCAGTTTACTAGACCGTATTTCGCCACTGCATGATACAAGACACGTCATGACAAATTGCGCGGTGATGATTGCACGCCATATGCGAAAGGGCTTCCAGCGATGAAGCAGAAAAAAATGCATGCAGGCGAATACTTCCTTCACAAATGGTCCATCGCGCACTGGGGCTTAGAAGGGCAGCATTTGAGAAGGCTTCAAGTGGGCAACAGCATTGAACCTGTGTGAGAAATGAAAAAAATAGTTTCACGATTTATTGAAGCTTGCATCGTGACTGGCTTGAATCATTCTTGTGTTTCGAAAGCAGCAATGCGAAGTAGAAATGCACAGAAAGGCAAATCACATGGTAAAAATTCTGCTCGGACTAGTTTCAATAACATATTTGTACATCGAAAAACTCTTAATAAAGGGAGGGCTCGATTGACGATTTGTTTGTCTAGTTAGGAGTCATTCTAATAAAACCAACAGACAAAGCTTAAGGAAGGTATAGGGGACCTTACTTGTATGCTTAAACTGCAGTACAATTATGGCAAATGGAAAAAAAGTATAGTGGATGAAAATTTTTGTCGGCAGGTACAAACGAGCTTGCAATCTTTAGATAATGCATCGGAGGCTCTACAAGCAAGCTAGGGTCACTTTCCCATTCACTTTATTGGGTATGTACGAATAGTAAATTTTAGGATCGAAACTAATTCGAAGTGAATAGTGATTTGGTCAAATAACTTCAAATTGAATTCGAAAAGCATATATTACATATTACAGTCGATTCCGGGTATATAGAACTCTGATATATCGAATTATTCGCTATAATGAACAGTTTATAAATCCCTTGATTTTCCCATGCAAAAAGTATGGGACTGTTGAACACGTATAATGAACTCCTTTAGAGCGTAACACTCTGATGTATTCTTTGCTGCGCCGGGCTGAAGCCCACAAAGTTTGGTTATTCTGACAAAGATTGCCAATTTTTCGGTTGCATTTTGATCACTCCTTGCATGCAAAAGGCAGTGTAATCCATTGCTTGCGCAGCATATGTGAATGCACCGGCACATGATGCGTGATCTGTTGTAGGTTGTAACGCGAGGACACGGCGTTTCCAAAGGGTCCAATTCCCAGGGAACCAGAACCACATGAATGCGGAGCGACTGGGCGGCCTCGTCAGAACGCGCGCATCCATCCCCTTTTTTTTTTGTTTGCTCATGCATGAAGATACACAGGCCCGAAAAGCATGGCCTTTGAGATCTGCAACCTAGTGACACTAGGGCTAGAAAGCCCTAGTGTCATCGCCACCGCCAAGATATCAGTGGTGGGGTACATGGTCGTTTTGTTAGTTGTTCGTGGACAGCGTTGTCACTTTCGGCGTTGAGTCACTCGTAGCGATAAAAATGACGTCTTTGGAAGGACATCAAGCAAGGCACCGCCGTGCACAGGGTCCTTGTGAGCTTTGACAACAGGGGACAACTTACAGAGAGTCATCTTAGCTGACGAGGCACACGGTGCCTCAGTGAATTTTGCGAAATATTAGCATTTCCAGGCCCCCTTTTGGATGGGACTACAGAAAGACTTCATTGGTACAGGCGACAACATCACTGTTTTCTGCATAGATGCTATCATGTCCGATGTTGCCGGTGTCGAAGTGAACCCGTGTGTTTATGAGGATGCCAGCACTATCGCCAAACAACATTTTACAGTGCTGCAGAGCTTGCATCGGTGCTCACTGTCAATCACTGCTGTTGTGGCCGAAGGGGCTGAATTTGCTTATTTTGAAAGCTTCAATGCTCGATTAACGAAGATGGAGTAATGAACATGACCGTGTGCAAAAGGCAAGTCCACACACTGTCTTCACGAAAAATGAAGTGAGGTAACTTGCAAAAGAAGTTGACCTTTCCTTAAGCATACTGTGAGCAAATCCTCATGTTAATGCTTATTACGATTTTTGCAATTGCAATTATAGTGGGGAATTCACAAGGCAATGACCAGTGGGACCTTCTCTTAGTGCGTAGCGTAAGCTGTAGACGCTGGACTGCTCGAGTATCTGTCTGTACCGGATGTCTGCCTACTACCTGGCGTCGCTATTAAACTCCCTTGCAAAGTGGTGGAGGTGCTGGGTACGCAAATCTGAAACTTCGAAGCCGGAAGCTGCCCGCTGCATCAACAACGCCAGATCAGACCACCAAGCAAGGCGCCGCGCAGCAAAGCACGGTCCAATCTCAACTGGTCATTGTGCCTACCACCCTCAGACGATTGGCCTAATGGAACGTTTCAATAGAACCCTGGGAGACGTGCTCGCTATGTATATTGATTCCGACCACTCGAATTGGGACATCGTTCTTCCTTTCATGACGTATGCTTACAATATGGAGATTCAATCAACAACAGGCTCAACACAATTCTGCCATACAATCCCGATGCCTCCAAGTTCAGCCAAGTTTCCGAAATGGCCGAACATGCCAAAGAGTGTCGTCAGCTTGCACGGTCCTTCACAGCCGATAATAGAGCTCTCCAAAAAGATCACCATGACCGTGATCTTGTTCAGGACACTTTCCCCGTCGGTTCTCTCATTTGGCTTCGACTGCCTTCCACTCTGCTGGCGTTGCTATTAAACTCCCTTGCACAATGCATTAGTATAAGCCTTAAGTACTCGTATTTTTTATATCGAATTACCACTATTTCAAAACTATTTCACAATCCCCTTCGAGTTCAATATATTTGGGATAGACTGTACAAAGAAAAAAGCATATTTGTCATGACTCAAATGAGTGTGTGATTACACACACACACACACACACGCAGCATAACTGATTATATGTCCCCTGGTTTCACACAGGCTGCATTTTAGGACGAATCTGTTTGGTACCGGCAAAATCCCCATAGTGTATTAAAAACCTTGGTTATATGAGGCAGTTTTATGCTGACCTCGCATCTTTCTACGACTCGAAGATTCAGTCCAAAAGAAAATGAAAAAAAAAAAAACTACTTTTACCAGAATCAAACGTCTAAACGAGTGAAAAATATGAACTTGCATTTTCCTCGGTTTAAGATTAGAAAAGTAAGAGAGAAAGGATGTCTTCTTACAACGGGAAATTCTCCTGGAAGATCATGCTCTTTTACATACACCTCAATCTCGTGCCCACGTATCCGATGTTACCTAGTCAAGCTCTATCCAAGCAGAGTAGCTTCAGCTGGCCGAAAAGTCGATATTTTTCACGTTTTCGGTCTGTAGAAACTTTTCCTGGTCCACATACAGCTAATCTGCTGCCTTCGTCGCACTTGCAGTCACAGGCTTGAACACGTATAATGGGGCGACACAGCGGTTTTCACCAAGCAAAATTACTTCCACGTGACGTCAACCTTCATAATAACAGCGGGACATCATTAGCTGCACTTCACAAGCCAACAAATTACAATGCACACAGCTCAGTCATGCACGAAGGCATTCTACGCAACACAAAAACTCGTGGTCCGTCGCCTTTATGTGAGTGATGACACCTGACTCTTCCGTTGGGTTTAGTATTATATTTTTTTCAAGTTGAGATTTGCTCACACTTCGTCCAACTCAGTAATTCTGCTTCAACTGCCACTGGCAAGAATAATTTACCTTCCTTGCTGAGGCACAAGGTCCTGCAATGGGCTTATTCAAGCAGTCTGTGCCCGTTTTTTCGGCAAGGCTGAGTGTCCTTGCCTATAACTTTAGTTTTTCGATTATACGCTGGTTTTGCGTGGTACCCTAAAAGCCATACAACCGGGTTTACACTGTACATACATACAGTAGACATGAAATGGAACCTGAAGAGGACCGGGAAAATGCGTTTTATTTAACAGGAGTTCCGTTTACTGAGAGATGAACAAGCGTGCAGTATGCAGGGATGAACCAATTACATCAGAGGCAATTGTTCCATTTAAGCAGCATTTCCGTTCAGCAGACTTGTAATTACTGAGTGTCCACAGTGTGCGTCTGTATAATATATATGTATATTTTAAATAAGCCAAAGCATGTGTAAAAGTCATTTTTTTTATACATTACATTTTAAAATTACATTTAAAATTACATAATGCAGATACATTACATTTTAAAATTTACTATACTTAGCACATAAAAGCCAGTATAAGAAGCTTTCAAACCTTAATGAGTTCATGTGAGAGTAGTATGTTCATTTACCATTAAAGCGACGCTTGACGATAGTACAGATCTCCCCGAATGTTTTCATGGCTGTGTGCACCCCTCCACTGCAGTCAAACCACTTTTACAAGGGCTACATGTAGACTTGTATACATGTATTTGTTCATTTCAAATACTTTGAAATTTCCAGTTAATTTAAAATCTAATCAAAGCATTCAAATATTTGCAACAACCTAGTATTTATGCATGTTTAATCCTAGGTGTTTTAGGCAGCCAGAGGTCTGATCAGTGGCACAAGTTGCATAAACGTCAGACTTTCGCAGCACCAAGCTGCCAAAAAAGATTTGGTCCAAATAAAATGTACTACACGATGGAGAAAAAAAAGTTGGAAAGAACATTCTAGGATGTCGAGCTCTTTATGCAATTAAACTTAAGTGTACAAAATGCAAGACAGAAAAACAGAAGAGTGCCTTCCACAGGTTGAGTGTAAAGAAAACTAAAAAATGTACTCACTTTGAGTGCTTGAACTTCTCGTGCACCGCCTTTTGTTCACGGCTAGATGCATTGCAGAATGTGCTGTACAAAGAATGGATGCACTCCCGGAAAGCATGCACTTCGTAGCCTGAGAAGTCAACAAGGTCTTGGCCCTGCACAGCAGCACAATCGCAGCTCTTTACTGCGTGTCGATAAAACTTGGAACAAAAGACTGCAATCGGCCTGCAATGCTGTTCCTGCAAGAGAAAGCTAGATGGCCTGGCAGCAGCATTTAGTGCTTGGCCACAGCTCACTAAATTCGGTGCTGCTATTAATATTAATAATAATCTGGGGTTTTAAGGCCCAAAACCATGACATGATTACGAAGGACGTCGTTACGGAGGGCTCCGGAAATTTCAACCATCTGGAGTTCTTTAACGTCCACAGACATTGCACAGTACACAATCACCATGGCCGACGCTAACACCGAATATGGAGATCTTTTAAACAAGATTGCTGTAGAAATGGAACTACTGCCTCCGATACAATTGGCTTCGTACTTCTATTTCAGCAACCTTGTTTCTCTCTCGGCAAACAACTTATTTTCCTGGTCCCTCCAGGTTCCTAACGAGAGAATACTGTAAATGGGAGGAAAAAAAAATTCGCTTACCAATTTAGCCACTGTGTGGCATAGCAGTTCAACTCAACACTATTACATCAAGGATAGAAACTTGCCAAACTGAATACCCTGAAATAAGGCAAAACCACATTGAAGAGAAAACCGAGCACTTTTAGCACAGAATGGAGGGTTGCAATACAGTAGAATCTCGACGATACAAATTTTAAGGTTGCTTCAGATGGACTACATTATATAAAATACGCTGTGATTCGGTGCTATACCAATAGTTTCCCCAGCCGTCGTGGATGATTTGAACCCGCGATTGACCGCTGCACGTGAACGGCGCAACGCTGCTTGACCGTGGGAGGAAGGCCTGTTCACACTTGGCCATGAAGGAAGCGAACGCGGCAAAACTCTCGAAAATTTCCCTCGCTTCGCTGCCTAAGTGGTCGGAAAACCACGCCACGAGACCGACGCGAAAAACTGTCCTAGACCAATTTTTCTGCCACGCAGAAACATGCAGAAATAGCAGCTCACCTTTTTGCTTCAAGGCTTTGGCTACACCACAGAAGACTACACCAGCTGCCCTAGCTATAAAACACATAATATAAACAATGAGCCGCAAATTCAGGATGGCAGCAAAGGCATCTGCGGTGGCTTGAGTCAGCACAATCTCGAACTACCCGCCCAGGACGACAAAGCATACGACCGACAATGACGCGTTCATCGAGAGCCTGGTTTGGATTACAGTCCCTGAAGACACCGAAAGTAGAAGGTGCAGCAGCTGCGAGACTGCATGCCTTAATGTGCCTCACTTTGGCACTGCCGCTTGAATGCGTCGCCGCCGCTGCTAGTGTGTTGCATTGGTTGTGTAGTTTCTGCTGGCGTATCTCCCGAAACAACGCTTGTACAGATGTAAACTTGCATGCACAACTAGAACCCTGTACGAATTTTACAGGAGCACTGACATCAAATTTACTCATGCCAAGATTTTTTGTGTCAGCAAGTAGCTATAGACCTTATAGCAGCGATTCGCGACCTAAAACGCAACTGAGGGATGAATAACTATCACTTTTATTGATTTATATTACTGGGATCTAGCACTATTCAAAAACAGCTGGCAATCCCGCCATTTTTAGCACTGGGAGAACCAGCATTGGCGCTACCTCGCGGTCACCTTCAGATCACGCCACAGTTGACCACTTCTCCACAGAAGAGCGAGGTCAGGCTCAGCTGCTCCGCAAGCATTTTGTCTGCTAGGCGCACACATTCAGTCATGCCTTGTCACCTGCATTGCTGTCGTCGCCGTACAAAGTGTCGACTGTGGTTCAATACGATAGTCTAGAGCTTGGAATTCCCGCGATTCGTGACATCGCGAATTATTTTTGCTTCGATCGACCTTTCGCGGAACAGTGATTTCGAAATGGACGCCGTTCTAAGCAGCACTACAGAGGTGCCCGAGGATGCAAGTTTCAGCCATGTTCGCTCGTGTGTCTCGGTTAGCTATATTAGTGTGTTTTGGCATGCAAAGCATTCAGGTATACGCAGAGGAGTCAATGCAATATAGCTATCGCGAATAAGCATAAGCGGAGAAATAGAATACGTTTCCTGCTTGTCAGGTTCTTTTTTGCACCTCCAGATGGCCCGACCTATCCAATCTCTCACGGTTGACACGGTATTACCACTTTTACGTGGACGCAAAGTCTACAGATTAACTAAAATTCAACGATACCTGCATGATACTTGTTAGCGATGATATCCGACTACACGCTCTTCCACTTTCGATAGCTTGTGGTCGTGTTGATGTGTAACACATACGTGATATGAAAAGACACCCTTATTGCGCTTTTTCCGTGCTTCGAACTAGACTGCAACTCGCGATTCCCCGTCATGCTGGCCAACAAGCACACGTTTAATCATGCTTTTTTCTTTCGTCATTCTTTTAAAGGTAGTTTTATCTTGATAATTTCACGAAATCATTCCAACCGGTGCGATGAAGATCAAACGTGACAAGCCACGACCGGGCTAGACTGCACTTGCGCGCGCTAGCCCGACCGTGGACGAGCGAGTGCGTTTCTGCACTTCGGCGCCACGATAAGAACACTCCGATCGTACACGTCATTGCTACTAGGGCATCGTCATTCAGGATGGTATTTGTGGAATGTATCACACCGAACATGTAGCACTAGCGTCAATGTCGCAGTGGCAGGGCAGTCTATTTTTCGTTTTTTTCTCCTCGGCTTTACGCGATGGATGCCGTTCAAATTTGACCAAGAAGACCTATGCATACCAAGAGACCGAATGATGGGCACATCTCGATCTTGAAATTTGATGTCAGTGCTCCTTTAATGCTCAGGAAACGGGCCAAGTGGAATGAATTCTTAAGCGGCGAAGGCGGTGAGATGTATACGAGGGGCAGAACGAATGCGAACATTTTCGACTGGCACGAACGTGGTTATCCGGCCGCTCTCGCATTTTCGCTCGAATGATCCCGTGAGAATCCTCCAATACTAATTGTTTTTCGTGGTCACATCACGGCGCGTTTTTCTAATGAACAATTTCGAACAAGTTTTGCCGCATTCCCTCCCTTTGACCCCAATTATGAACGCTGTTAAGCACCTGCAGCATGAGTGAGGAAACCGCGGCACTTTATTTAAAGGCAGTGAAAGCAGGAAAGTTCAAAAAAACATCATGGACTTTTTTTCAGCAAGTAGTAATTGATCCCAATAAAGTTCCTGTTCATCTTCATGAACAACTTGTTCTTGGTTCATACGAATTCTGGATGATGCAAATTTTTTGCGTGCCATTCGTATAATCAAGATTCCACTGTACTACGCAAATTGAAAATGGCAGATTAATACACCCTGGAAGTTGTGCACCCAGTTGTGAAACGTACACTGTCATTGGCAAGAAGCTAACCTAACTCAGATAACAGACACGAAACTTCGAATGCAAGCAACTTGTGAGATAAATTTGTACAGACTAACATGCACCATCTACGACATATTAAGGAAAAATATAGCCTAGAACATACCTAAAATCAATTTTAAAGGGGTGCCGACCCATTTTTTTTTTTTTTGGAGGAAAGTTTTTTTTTTGGAGGAAAGTTTACCATACAAATCTCCTGTATACCGAGACTGCTCTGAGCAAGTGCGACGCTCAGAAAATGGTGATAAGGTATTTTAATATTAAAGTCAATTTGCTCGCGGTGCACCTCCCGACATCAACACTAACTTGACGTCAGGCTAGTTTTAATGACGTCAAGCATCTAAACACACATGATAGATTACGTGCCGCCTTATTACGTGCGGTCACTGCCATGTAGTTTACCTGTGAAGCGAGCTAGTGGAGTCGGGAATAATGTATGTGCACGCGAATACAACATACACGCTTACGGGAGGGCAAAGGTATCGTTTGGTTTAGAATTTGTTGTCATGTCGCCATATTTTGCCCTGCGAAGTCTTGTGCTAGTGAAACAGGGGACAATAGGTGGAAGTCTTGGTACTTGTCCTATTCGGCGCTGAAACAAGCATGGTTCGGCTTCATATGCCGCGGTTGAGGTGAAGGCTGGACACCAACCAAGTCGAGTTTACTACGGTCGCGTACAAGTGCAACATGATCGACTTGGATTGTTGACGAAGAACCTGCGCCTTAAAGCGATACCATGCCAACGCTGTGCCCTCCCGCTGTGACAGATGCCACACGTGCGGCGTGCAGCAGGTGAAGCAGACGATCGAAGAAACGACGCGTCGATGAGGATGAGTCACGAAAACTTGCGTGTACACATACTACTGCCTGGTGGAACTGTTCCCACCATGTTGTGACGTCAGGGTGCAGTAGAAACCGAAACTAGCTCTTAAAAGCATGCTGAAATTAGGTTTTCAGGTTGCTCTCACGCTTACCTGTACATTACCTACGCTCTCGAAGGCTTGGCCTATCATTTGTCGCAAAAAAAAAAAAAAAAACGACAAGTGAAAAATTCCGTGTCAGTACTCCAAGATGCGTGTTGTGCTTTGGGTTTCGTGTCAAAAACCAACTGCTACCTGCATAACAATTTTGTGTTAACTACCACGATCCTTGTGAACACAATTTCCTAGCAGACCTTTTACCCGAAGAGGCCAGGGGGGGGGGGGGGGTAAAATATTTGTTTCGGACGATATTATAGCAGCTCCCAGGAAGCCTTCGTTCATAAGAGTTGTCAACACAGTGCTGTTGTGCATGCGGTTTTGCGTACTAGTGTAGCCAACTATGCTTACATGAATATCACTCTGGGTCACTCTGCTTTCTGAAACTGCAACTGGGAACTGGAAATAATAAAACAATCTGAATAATCAACAGTCGTGTGTTCGAGCAAACTAACTTTCCAGCCGTGGCAAGTGTCTCGTTAGCTACTCATTTCAACAGGAAAAACAAGACAGTAACATGAAACGTACCCATGGATGCCTGTTGAGGGTGTGGTTGGCCAAGCAGAGCGCTGAACCAGCGATGATGCTGGGCAGGTACTGGAGGTAGGGCTCGTCATCCATGAGGGCAAGCTCGCACAGGTACTGTAGACAAATATGCAAAACAAGACAGCTCATGCTAAAGCCAATCAACTGTCCTATCAAGTTGGAGAGCTGGAGTAACGAGGCAGCGGGGAGGAAATGAACAGAGCTATGATGCATTCCAAGTGTTGAAAATTCTGGCAATTTCGAATGCCTCCTTGGTCAAAGAATGAACCGTACTACTACTATTACTACTACTGTTACGCGTGTACACTGGCCTGTCCAGCTTTCGCGCTAGAGGCTGTAGTGAAAGCCACAATGGTGAATTGCTGTTGAGCAAGTGCTGCGAAAAGCCCAACCTGCCGATGAGGTGACCTCGAAACTTGAATTTGAGATTCAATAAGAGGGCGGGAGGGGGGATGCAAGAGGAAAACAGGTGCATGTGTTAATTCGCCGCATGTCTGGGCTACACTGATGCCATAGATGCACGATTTCGAATAAAGTTTGCAGACGTCGGCAATTATACTGGCCCTCTTGATTACACGGCACATACATTTCGGCGCAACTGTCTCAGTCGGTTGCTCCACGGAAATCTTAATGCGCCTTTCCCCATGACACCAATGTACTGCTAAGAAAGACTCTAGCGTGCATTCCACATGCAATCAGGAAATTAGAAATGATGCTTTAAGTTTATTTTTCTTTACATGGTGGCACTAGCACTGTATGGGTATTCCTCTACAATGAGGAATGTTGGCAGTTATGAAAGCTATTGAGACGCAGTTGCAGCAATTGAGAAATGCAGGGTTACATTAACACATGCTTCACAGCCATAGACAAATATAAATACCTGGGCAAGATAGGTAACCGTGTCTGGACACTTGCTAACTTCTGTGAAACGTAGCAAGAAAGCGTACGATGTCGGAGAAGCCACGTCAAAGCAGAGAACCTTGAGCACCACTTGCTCCATCTTTAAGACCTGATGCTTGGTGTACGTGTCGTCAGTAATGTACACAAACTCCGTCACTTCTGGAGGGTAGATCTCTTCAAACTTCCTGCGAATGAGAAAGAAAGGCCAAGGGGTACAAAAAAAAAAAAATGAAACAGCCTTAATAGTGTGTGTGTACATTATATATATATATATATATATATATATATATATATATATATATATATATATAGGTATGAGATATGGCACAACGGGAGCGTTGTCAACAAGGATAAATATATTTATTTCCCAACAGTTTCGGGAGGGGTCCTCCCTTCATCAGGGGATGAGCATCAGTATAACTCATCCCTGATGAAGGGAGGACCCCTCCCGAAACTGTTGGGAAATAAATATATTTATCCTTGTTGACAACGCTCCCGTTGTGCCATATCTCATACCTTCACGAAGACTAACTGGCCCATTGAATTATTACTCCCACTATATATATATATATATATATATATATATATATATATATATATATATATATATATATATATATATATATACATATATATATATACACAGGCAATTGGCGGTGCACAGCTCTAACAGTATCATGGCATCATCAGGCTTGTCCATAGTTCTCAACAGTGAACAGTTGAAGGAAATACAGCTACAGTATAAACTCTGAAACAGAAATTACGTAGTAGTACTGTGTAGAGAATACAAGTGCTGCCTAAATGGAAGAAACGATTGGTCGCTCCAGTATTTGATTCATTCACAAAAAAATTCATTCGTTGAAACTAAAATTCTGTCTGTTTTAAACGAACCCACACACCTAAACCATTAAAGGTGTTGCCCCAAAAGAGAGCAAACTCTCTGTGCAATATGAAGAGACCCACAAGATTGCTTCTGTACCTGAATTCAACTAGCACATGGGGTTGTTACCATATAACAAAGTCGAAATATAATACGAATACTGCGGTCATAAGTGAAAAAATTAATAAGCATAATGGTTTCTACAGTACAGCCAAAAGCACTGAAGCGATCAATGGTATACGAAATTGTTCTTACGCGGCGATGAGAAGCGAGGCAGTGCCAACAAGTTGTAACCTCGTGCGCTGCACTGACATGCTCGACAGGAAGCGGTCGACGTAGGAGACTGCAAGGAACAGTGTCTCATTGTGGAGCTGGTATTCCTCTGCTACTTCGACGAGCCAGTCGACAAGTATAGTACGCATTGTAGAAGTTATGTCCGGCTGCTTCTTCATGTAGTTTGCTTTGCAGGCAAGCCTGACCTAAAGGAAGAGAATAAAGAAAATTCATTGATCACTTCTAATCACATTACAAGCTAACTAATAAGTGAATAACAATGGGCTAATCAGTAGTTGCAGCAAAGCAGCAAGAGTGCCAAGGTGGTTAATCACCTTGCTAAGGGTTTGTGGGCACCGTGGTTTAATGGAGGATCACTAATGCGAAAGTAACAGTTTCTTAAGTTACTTTTTGAAATGCCAACAAACATCCACTTGAGCCGGCTCAGCGAAACACTTATCAGCAATCAGGCAATTAATCATAGACCACCACAAGGATTTTTCTAAACATGACCAAGAACAGCCTATGGGCACCACAGCAAGCAAGCTAGCATGTGTGAAGGCTACGAACAACGACTAAGGCAGACAAAAACTTACCTCTAGCTCTTTCAAGTAGGCGAATATGTCTTTCGCGTATTCAGGACTCGATTCTTGTTCCCGTACATCGCTGTATGTCATGGGCTCGAGTGTGTGAAGGGACGTGTCCAGGACCATGGGAGATTCACTAGGTGCTGGAAATTTAAGGGGAAAAAATAGGGGGAAAGTAGTAGGAGGCATAGCGGTGCAAAGGTTGCAAGAATTGCCATACGTTCATCTAAGCATACCATATGTTCACCTAGCTGTGTTAAGACTTGTTTGGGCATGCTGGTTCATACTTGATGTGCAACAAAGGAGGGCTAATAAGTGGGGTTAAACACAAGACAGAAATTGTAGAAGCTTTACATATCCTGAAGTATGGTGATCAATGGGCATTCTATCACACTGAGAAAACGTTGCCTTCCTAGTAGGTCAGGAAAAAAAAAATGCTAAGGGGGGCTTCAATAAGCCCCCCTTATTGAAGGATGTAACAAAAATGTGAAACGCGCCTCCACAGAAGTAGTTGGTTGCTCAGTGTGCTTTGATATGAGGGGTTCTACTATGTCTATTGTTGTTTGACCGATATAGCACCACTTGAAGTGGATGTGTCCATGTTAGTGCCAGTGGCACATCATCCCAATGACTAATGCCGATTACCATAATTTAAGTGTGTTAGCTAAAGCTGTTAACATATACCTGGACACAGCATATCATGAATTCCATGCAGAGATGGCATGAAGAAGCACATAATAAACACTGGTACTCTATATGCCCTCTATCAAAGCACAGTCAGTTGAGGAGAGACACTGCTAGCTGTGCATTCCCAGGTAGTAGAGTAACCTTGGCTGTGCTCATGTGTACACTACCACACCATTTCAACAACACTGGAGTCTGAAATTCCAAGCTTAAGCCTCAAGCCTGCGACAGCATCCGACATCCTACCGGCGCTTGTGTCGCCCCACCAAGGCACAACGTTCACCAGTCCACATTGTTGCCTTTCTGCAGCGTTTATTGCTACACTGATCAGTCTGTGCTATCGCACTATGAACAGTAGGCAGCAGAGAAACTCTTACTACATGTGCAAGCTGCACAGCTCAAAGAGCAGTCACACTAACACAAAACGAAAAGCGAAGACTGCAACTGTCTAGGGAGACTCCTTGATGCTAGCACAGCCAGCTTCCTCGCTGGCATCGAGACTAGCTGCAATGTCATCATATTGCTCCTAATCGTGGCTCATAAATCACGACACTGCCTCGCAAACCAAGAGCCCCATGCAAAAGACGATGTGCATTTGTGGAGCCTTTGCACGTGTGGTTCGGTAATGCAGTGGTTGAGCATTCTGCACCTATCACTGTGGACTGAGATAGTTTTAGATGCGAAGCAGCTCTTGGACCAGCCTGTGTAATGCTGTCTCTCCGTCCGCACCGCTCCCTTCGCCGCGGGTGTTAGAGCAGTGCCAAGTAGCTCACGCCATCATAGCAGTGCACGGTGATGTCTCTCTCCCTTGCCTGCTGCGTGGTCGCTTATGTCAGCTCTCTCCCTGCACGCTCTCCACCGCTCGAGCCCACTCCTCACATGAACATCTCGCACGCGCCACTTCTCTCCATCTGTCAACAAGAAGCCACGAGGCGACGGGCGCACGCGCCTCAAGAATCTCGCGGCACCTATAATGCGGACAGCGACGGCGCCGACGGGTGGGACGCCGTTGCGGCGTGGTTCCTGCTAGTGTGCGCGTACCTTTCCCAGCTGTCACCGGCGTTACGAGGGTTAGCGAAGCTGATCGCGTTTGCGAAACACCGGCGAGGCGCAAGCCAGGGAAGCCGAACACAATCGTTGACAGTGGAAGACCAGCGACACTGACGAGGTGCGAGTCAAAAACACCTAGCATGTTTGTGAATATAGATGGCGTGCGGGTAACACCAATGAAACGCGAGCCCAGGAGGCAGAGCGCAAGCGTTTTTAATGCGTCCCGCCTCCCGTGCCTTTGCGTTTCAAACGTTTACTGAAGTGAACACTACACCGAGTTTCAAACCGTTCTTCCAACACTCTCGTCGGCGCCCGTTTCCACGCCGTGCGCACCGCTGCTGCTTCGCATCCCATCAGAGTTCCCTTCGGGGAGATGGTCCATAGTTTCTTGTCATACATTAGTGTGCATTTCCCCATCACATCCGTGATGGAAGTATGCAAGTGAAGCCTTGGTGGACCCCAGCCTGAAACATTTTTGTGTTAAAAAAAACGAGTACCAGTCCTGTGTCTTCTTTAGCTTTTAGCTTCCTAGTTCGGATTTGTTCATATATCTAAGGTGCTCATTGCAACTCTAAGGCAGCGACCGTCTCGCTGTTCGCCCACAACTTACCTTCGTCTTCCGTGCGACAGTCTGGCGACATGGGCACCACCATGGAGTTTTCAGAGGCTGCTGGAATGACGAGGCTGATGGGTTCGCTCGCTGGAGGCACTTGAACTGCGAGTGCGGCGCAGGGCTGGCCTGTAGAATCGCAGGAACCATCCTCAAAGACTTCGAAGCGGCCAGTCTGCCGACTGTTCTCAACGGCGGCTGCTTCAAGACGTGCAGATCTTCTGAGGGCAATGCTTTTCTGCGGTGGTGCGTGTTGGTAAATTAGCAAACATTTGCAAGTTCAGCTAGGAACAGACACTGGCGTGGTCTCGAATGGCAAGTCCTAGAGTCCACTTGTTCTACAAGCCAGGCACGTAGCCGGAAACGTTTTCGGGGGAAAGGGGGGGGGGCACCCCTTTGAAATGGTCATTTTTTTTGCTGCCTATGTCATAGCAGAAAAAAATTTGAAGGGGGGGGGGGGGGGCGGTGTGCTATTTCTGGCTACGCCCCTGTTTGTAGTGCGCGAGGCCATGAAAATGTGGCAAAAACTTCACTAGGGTAGTTTTTTTTAGTTTAGTGCGGTAGAAACAACACTTATACGTCAAAAAATAATAACTAAAAGCAAGAAAAAATATAGTAACAAAGGCGAAAACGTGTCGGGTGAAGGCGGCAACGAGGACAGGCAGAAATGCAGTTGGGCCAATAGAAATGAATCGTGCAAAGTCTGGAAGAAGCAATGATTCAATTACAACCACTGTGAAAAGGGTGCAACAGGAAACAAAATCGTTTTCGCGACGAATAACGAGCGAACACCGCCGACGGGAAGGAGAAGTAGGGCAACACTAGCACTATAAATGTAAGGAAAAATCACACTGGGAAAGCAATACCCTTACGTAAGCATTAGAATGCGATGTCCGGTGAGAAAAGAGTTTAAAAAGTAAGCTGAACGCTTGAATGTCCAGGCAAATGCAGCCGCCCGCGGGACCTAAATATCACGCTAGGCGAAAAAAAAAAAGACAAAAGCAGCTCAACTTGAGTTATACCATAAGCGAAATTCCTAAGGGGCACGAGCTTTGTCACGACAAAGGTCTTTTCCGTCAACGCGTGTGCTACAACAATAAACAATGGTAGCATAACCCCTCCGCCACCGCACCGGCAAAGTCGGCCATACCTGGTTGCCGCACTCTCGCTTCGCCAACGGCTTTTTTTCAGCCACCCGGTTGATCTGGATACATCCTAGTGCCTGTCTTTTGGGAACGGCTGGCATAGAGGCTTTTCCTGCCTTCACTGTTATCTTGGGGTTCTGATTTAAAGGCCTCGAGTTCTCGTCAGCGTAGCCAACGGTCACGTTACGCCTCGCCATGTTTGAAGTGTCTCACGAGCGCTTCTCTTCGTTCACGAACGACGTCGGTGAGCTCGCCGCTTCACAGGCCTTGTTGTTTCATGTGGCGGGCTACTCGTTCGACGGTCGCTGGCTGCCGGAATTCCACGTTCGTCGGCCCCTAGAAACGACCGCTGTGTTCGAGTAGCAAGGCCACAGGCGACGAATGGTCCGTCCCTCAGCTGAGTGCGCGAACGTTAAATTCCCCGCGATACAGTTGGTCCAGACGAATGAACCAATCGCGTTGGGCAGTTTTACTTAACGTGCGTACTACGTCACCACTTCGCGCGTGCTTTTTCTTTCTCGACTGCAGCGCCGTTTGCGGGTAGATAGGCAAGTTTAGTATCGCAAAAAATATTGCGATCTTCTAAGAACGCCAGGACAAATAAATAAAACGCAGCGCAGTCGAAACGTTAAAACAAGGATATGTGTGTTCAGAATAATTATCATAAAGTTTCTGACAATAGAATTTCTAACCCCCAGAGTTCCAGTTGAACCGACTTGTATCGGTGTTAACTATTCCGCTTACAGCGGAATGCATGGACGCATGCTACACTATTGGTTATAGAAATGAATCTGGTTGCGCCAAGTTATAATCCTCCCCACGGAGGAAAGAAAGGTGGTCTTCCCCTTCGCATTTAAAATGTGCTTCACTGCATATCGTTGCAGCACTGCAGCAAAGCTGACTTTTCGAATTCACTACGGTGCGGGAGCGGCAGTCGCTTCCCTCGGACATGCAAATTTAGTGAAAAGTTGAGATTTGGAGAGTTTCGGTGTCCGAAACTTCAGACGTTGTCATACATTGTCCCTACGTGGCCTGTGGCGGTCATGTGAAAGCGTACGAATTTTCAAACATGTTCGAAAAATTGGTAGCTTGTTTGTCTGGTGCCTGGCAGCATCTCGATATTATAGTTTTCTCCTAGGAACCTGCCACCCCCCTATATTGTTTTTTTTCAGTGCAACTGGTTTATACCAATCATCAGTTACAACAACTGAAATTTTCAAGGCACTTGGGTATATTGTTAAGTGAGCTGGACTGAAACAGGAAACTCTATCTGGGACTCTAGCTCTAGCCCATATAGCAATAGAGATATATGTGATCTGACAGCATAGAGAAGCATCACAGAACAACTAAGCATTCAAGTTGCCGCGTGGTTTCAAATATTACCGCATGTCTGAGACGTTTAGTCAGAGACTGTGACTTCAGGTTAAGCGAGAATTATGTTTTTGTTGTATACGGCATAGCATATCGGAAAAATAACACTGCTTTAAGATGGCTAAAGTGGTCGTAATGCATCTGTGAGATAGCAGATTGATTAGGCTTCTTGGTTACTAAATGTATTGATAGCAGCACAAACGTAAAGCGAGTGGAGGAAGAGCCACATGAGGACAAGCACATCAGTAAAAAAGATGTTAAAAAGTTTATGAAAAATCTAATCTGGACGTTCGGAACCTGTCCAAGCACAGGAGCTATGCTATAAATGGTTAATTCCTTTCGGGGTGGGAGGATTCCCACCTCTGTTCACAGTATTATTTGTGCATGTGCAGGCAAAATATAAAATCTGGGGGAAGGGGAATTGAACCTTTCTGGCTGCACCAGTGCTCAAGGTGTCTCAGTAAGTTTGCCTCACTTTCTTCTTTTACTTTTTAGTGTTCACTGCAAATATGTTTCGAGTAGGTCCTCCTGTTTAGAGTTCCGAGAAAGATGAGGGTGCTGTCAAGGTCTGGAGAGTGCAAGCATTAGCAATGGAAGGACATAGCACATTGATCTGCTATTGTTCCTTAGGCAGAAGTTGGGGAATTTCCTCCCTGGAGCCCTTTGTGGTCTAAGGTTTATGTATTTGTTCAGGCACATTCAAAGGGACCCTGACTCTTTGAAAGGCTTCGTTCAAAAGTAAAGTGGTGCACGAAACTAGGAAAAGGATATATTGCGGGGCTTAGACGAGGTGTAACTAATGCCTAGGAGGACCATCATGGTTTGCTCAACAATTCCTTCACAGACCAGGCATTGGCTTTTTTTATGCAGTGTTTGGCTGCCACCATCAACTTCACGACATTTAAGGCATCCATGGTGAAATCCTTATTATGATGCCATGAAAGGGCTTGCATGCTAAGCCAACGAAAAACACCAATTTGGAGCTACCCATACTATGTTTCATACATCAGGTGCAACGATGTGGAAGCTATGCAATATGTTCGGTCCGCAAAATGTGCACATTCGAGAGTCTCACGCTTGGATTTCTTGGTTGCAAGTGCTCGTGTCAACCATGCGTGAGCTTGTATGTGAGGCGTCGCGACAAGCCGCAAATGAAATGCCAAAAACAAAGAGATGCTAAGCGATCCAGAACAATGTGCTAACAAGTATAACAAGGTTTTTTCAAAAGCATGAAGCACCTTCATTTATTACTCAGCCTAAAATAAAGAAACCAATCGTCATTGTGGATGGTAAAATCATTGAACTATTTCTTGGTGTGAACGCATCGAACTGCAAGAAGTGTCTCTTTTCGGCTTGACAGTGTTGCATTTGTTGTATGAAACTGAGCATAGTTGGATAGATCAACAAGGGAAGAATAAGGGAAGTATCTTGACTGCAGGCAGTGGTGCAATGCTGGCATTAGTTCAAGATAAGTGACATCAGTCGAACTAGCATTGAGGTATTTCCTGGCATTGAGCAGGCGGTACATAGGAGAAAGCAATTGCAAACTACACCTCTGCATCAGCAAAGTTCGAGTTGCAGACCTTGCAAAGAATATGAAAGGATAAGGCTGGATTATTTTGAGCTATGGTGCTGGTGTAAAGTTCGATAATCGGATGGACTGGCAAGTGAAGGAAAATCTTGATCACGAGGGAGATCAATTCCGAATGTTCTTTTTGAAGCAATGGTCCCTAACAAAGCCCTCCTACGTTGATTACCGGCTCATTGTCACAAAATAATGCTAGCCAAAGTGAAGGGTAAGACAATACAAGGTTGCCTATGCACAAGATAATTGACAGTATTTATCAGGATTGTGCTAAATAGGTCTCTCTCGTGTTCACATACACATGGCAGTCACCAGGAGTCGCGACTCTGTTGCATTTATCAACAGGTATGTCTATATGTGCACTTAAGAAGTGTCAGTGCAGAAGCTTGGGGGCCTTCTTTGCCCACACATGTTTATTCGTTTTTCATTCGTCAGTGAAAAACCTAGGCTGCAGAGCACAAAGGGGAGTAGAACCCACTTGGAAGAGAAACTGTGCGGGCATGTTTACTTTCGTATCTGCACTGGTGACACTATCAGTGCTACAGATAAAGCATGAGTAATAACAATAATTGCAGGAGTTTGACGTGCCAAGGCTATTACATGATTATAAGGCATGCTGATTGAGGGGGGATAAAAAAATTTAACTACCTAGAGTTCTTTAATGTGCACCTAAATATAAGGACACAGACCTCCATAAAAAATTGAGAGCCGCGAGATTAAGTGCCAGTGAATAAGTTAATAGGGCCACTACAAGGAGATTTCATTAATTTTTTCACTTGAAGAATCTGTTAATTATTAGCAATTTATAAATGCTTTACACCCACATACTGTTTGTCTGCTATGTTTGTCAAAGCATGAACTGTGTAAGTATGGTTTTGATGTTTTCGTCACAATTTGATAGCTGGTTTTATCTGTTACAGTACTGTGCACACTGAACTTTGGTTAGACTTAACTTTTAATAAATGTAGTACCCACAACATAGAATACAACAATGTGGATGTAGAAGTAGGAACAGTGAACTCGCACCGAATAGCACGGAACAACTGAGATCAAGGCACACAAATAACATTAAATTGATCCCTGTGCTAGTGAAAGAATAAAGCATGCACGAAAACTAGCTCGGAACTAGAAAAAAAAGAGAGAAAGATTACACAAATGTGCTTCAGTCCTGCTAAAAGTGATTGCTAATCTCACAGCAACCGCAATTTATAGAAATACGATTGCTTTTTGAAGTTTACAATTCGTACAACGAAGAAAGCAATCAGGCACGACGAGGGGATTCACGCGAACACCTTCACTTCATAATAAACTTCCAGTAGATCAGTGCCCCCAGGATACAAATTTCGACAACGATAATCAGAATAAGGATCATTTTGTTGGTCATGACACGCCTGTACATGGTGCGCAGTATTTTGCGGGCCGTGGTGAGGTTTTGATCGGTCTCTTCTAGCCGCTCTTTCGTGCGCACTAACGACTCCCTCTGAGTGCGAAGTTCCTCCGCCACGGCTGTCCCGATTTGGTCGGTTTCAGCAGCCACTTGGAATGTTCTTGCAAGACTGTCCGTCGTTCTGTCTAGCGTTTCGTTCATCTGCAAGAGTCTACTCCTCTGAGGATCACCTGCACCGAAATCACCGAGAACACTGGACGGACTCAACAGGTCCTGTCTCGCAATGGTGATGTGCGTGACACCGCCAGCCAGCGATGTAGCGGTCTTGTTCACGTCGTCCAATTCCGCGCGGTACTTTCTCGTCTTGGAATTCATGTGCACGCGGTAAGGGTTTGGCGCCTGCCCGGGCTTCCTGCTCTAGCTCTTGCAATACGCTGCTCGCTTGGTCCACTTTGCGCTGCACTTCGCGAAGCAGAGACTTCTTGTTTTCGCCGATGCCACTGCCGTCCCTTGGCGTTTTCCAATTTGCGTCGTATGTCGTCCATAAGCGAAACGAAGTCCTCTTCGAGGTCCTCGAACTTTTCTGAAGACATCGTGGTCTTCGAATGCTTGAATCAGCCCGAACGCACGAAACTGGTACCCAAAATCACTGCCTACCATGCGATCAGATGACACAATCGAAGAAAAACACACCCAGCTGCACGTCATGTGACTTAGAATCCAAAATTAAGTCACTCCCGGCCAAGCCAAGTTTATTATCCAAATACGAAACTAATGCTTATTTATTTTTATTAGCTTATTATTCAAGTCACTTTAGATTTGCCTTAAGTGTTTCAATAATTTTAATGATTTGTCCGGAATTTGTGATATGGCCATGGTTAGGCAGAAAAGAAAGTTTATTCAAAACGAAAACGTCATTATAGTCACGTGATCGAACGCAGATTTGCTGCTGCTGCCATCTGTCTCCAGCTGGTAAGGCTCTAGCTGGTAAGGCTCCAGCTGGTATGGATGGGCATAAACATTGATGACAAAGACATAACATTCACCATCCAAGGCAACACCATCAAGAAAACAGCAACATACAGATATTTAGGCATAACAATATCAGACCAAAAGAATTACCTTGACAAACACCAAGAATTACTCCTAAAACAATCCAACCGCCTAAAAGGTAGGGTGTGGCACCTGTCACGGCATTCCTACAACCCCTACAGGGTAGGCCGCACACTTTGGAAGACTCTTGCCGTGCCTGCAATAACCTACGCAGGTGACACATTGGCGTACTCTACCCAAACAGTGCGATGTTTGGACCGCCACCAAAATGAACTGGGGCGCTGGCTACTGGGAGGCAGCTTTGCAACAGCAAACGCAGCAGTAACAGGGGAGTTGGCCTGGTCAACTTTCGAAGCACGCGAAGCAAGGTCAAAAATACAATATGCGGGCCGGCTAAAGTTTCTACCAGAAACAAATTACAGCCAGCGCATATACCTACACCTCCGATACAGGGGCATAAAAACACAGTGGATGAAACGACTGGCTTCTCTGAAAATAAATTCGGCCATAACACAAAACTGGAAGAAGCAAAATCGGAACGAGAATGGCGTATAATAACAAAAAACACTATAACCGAAGCCAGCACAGAGATGTGGCGCACGTCGGCGGCAAAGAAAAGGAGCCTACAGTTATACCTCGAATACAAGCAGGCTCCAGACCGTGAGCCATTTACAGGGGCGACCGGGAAAGCGCCCTCCTGTTCCAAGCCAGGACGGGGTCACTGCCCACGCGGAAGCGGCATTGGGAACTGTTCGACACGGACCCGTCGTGCCGCCTATGCGGGGCCACGGAAGAAACCATCCAACATATCCTGATGGATTGCCCGCGACTCGGAGCGAGGGACCTACCCAAGATAAACCTGGCGGAATATCTGGGTCTCCCAGATGATCCCGTCGACACCCGAGTCGAACACACCGAGAGTGCCAAGCGACGTCTAAAACTCTGGGACAGACTGTGCTGGCAGGTGGACAAACACCCCGACAGTGTCCAGCGCAACGAAGGGCCGACAGAAAATATCTAAACGACGCCGACGCCACTGGATAGACTTGGCCGAGGGCACGTTTCCCCTGGTGGCGAAACGGGCAATTTACTACCAGACCTTTCTTTCTTCGAACAGTAAAGTGGAAAACGTGTGAGTGCGTGTTCGCGTGAAGTGCGTGTAAAACACAAAATGTTTTTTTTTTTTTGACGGTGGCGCGGCAAGCGCCTGACTGGTGATGTGTGTGTGCGTGTGTATGGATGTGCGTTGAAGCGCACAACTTTGTCCTGTGGCGCTGCTGGCGCCTGCCCTGTGCCAAAAGGGATTAGGAGCACCTACTTACTTACTTACTTACTTACTGGCTGTTGGTAGTTTCAAGCGAAAACATTAGCCCCGGGGGCCAGCAAAAACAGCAGAGTAGTGGCGATCATCGAACAAAGTCGTGCCGTAGTCAGCTGAACGCCTTGCAAAGCAGCCGCGGGACGGTCTGACATACGAGCGATGAGCCCCGTCTTGAAGGCGTTCTAGTTACGTGCTTTCATCGGTGCGCGCATAAGTGAACGTTTTCACGGTGGAGAAAAAATCGCATGCGTCGAGGAGAGTGACCGATGGCTGCGTCTCCGGAATCAAACATGGCAGATTTTGACGCGATCTACGAGGAAGATGACGACGAGGAGCGAGCGAACGAAGATTCGCTTGTCAGTCTCGTGCCAGAGCCCGTGGTCATCCGTGGTGCGGGCAACATGACAGTGTGAGTAGCAGCCGCGCGTGAATCTACGATGGCTTCGCTCACAAAGAGACCCCCCACGGGGAGCGCGTGCAGGGGATCCGTGACGATGCGTTTCACTTTTTTTGTGTAAACTCGATGCATTCGTCGTTTCGCAGCCGGAGCTATCTCAGGTTATAACTCAATGTAACAGCGCTCTACAAAACAATCGGACTGAAAGGGAGAGAAGCGAGTTATTTACACAAGGAGTGGTGTGTGTCGTCTCTTCCCTTTTAAGTCCGGTTGTTTTGTTGCGCGTTTTCACACCGTAGTATCATCCAGTACCAACTCGCCCAAGTTGCCGTGTGATTGCAGTTTATCTCAGGTAAGGCGAAACCAAACGCGCGCTATTCTAGGCAGTGCGTAAGCTTTTGAAGAGAAAGCACAGAGGAGGAGCCTGCGCTCTGCATTGGGAATATTTATTGTAAAAGTAGACACTGAATGCTTCTAAACCGACGCGTAGCGCCTAATTATAACTTGCGTACAGCGAAGGAATGAAAGTTTGCTCTCTAGATTCGTTTGCATGCTGATTCACCTTCGCCGCAGTGAGCCCCACGTCGAGTACCCGTGCTCGAACTATGGAACTCGCGTTTGTAAGCCTGAATCCCGCGTATTATTGAGCTCACATTCCGGCGAATCGGTTCGCAGCTACGCTTTCTCGCCGTGAGAACTGACGTCACCAACGGTATCCAGTTTACCCATTCACGTGTTGTTATTGATCAGCTGATTCAGCGGCTAGACAAGTCGTCTCTCTCGGAGCGCCCTTTGTTTTCCGCGAAGATGCACGAGCTCTAGCCCCCCCCCCCCCCCTCCCTCTTTTCTCCTGGCCAGTCCGTTTTTCACGAATGAGCATGCTTTATACGCTCTGTGCGAAGCAGTTGGAGCGTAATCTATTAGCGGGTACAGTAATGGCCTGCACATTACGACAGAGTTGCCCCCCCTCCCTTTTTTTAATGCTGTTTTTCTAACGCCAGCTGCGCGCTCTGTTTTACGGACGTTGTGCAGATTTGGGCTCAGCAACAAGTTCGACACGGAGTTCCCGCCCACGCTATCAGCCAAGGTAAACAGTGGAAACGACTGCTCTCTTTCTTACCACTGCCCTTTCTTGGCGCTAGAATTAGTTATGATCACTATGTACTTAAGAATATGTGGAGGGGCTCGTATGATACAGTATATAAATTCAAAATGCGTCTGCATTTGATTGGTGGATGTGAATTACAGCATGAAACAACAAAGCATAACCCAGACGAAAAAGTTTTCATTACAGATGTATTATTGAACTGTAGAATCTCTCCAGTGGGAAACAGGCTTACGGTTCAATAATTCAGCTCCAAGTGAATTAATATACGGCTGGAACATAGACATATTCTATAGAAGGATATTCATAGACCTTGTGCTAAATTTAGTGAAAAAGCCACATGTTGTCAGCAATGAATGACCAAACAGTGTCAAAAACTGCTACAAAGGCTGTTTTAGACTTTAGCAAAAGCACTGGACTAGATACTAGACTGTAGGGTGCTATTCTAAGTGGATACTGTACATACGCACCACCTCTTCTTGTCCCCATCATCATCCTTCATCCCTCTTCCTTTCTCCTTCCTTTATTCCTTGCGTAGAGTAGCAAGTTAGAGCGAACTAGCTCAGGCCGATCTCTCTGCCTTCTAATAAAGTCTCACTCAACTAGTGCTGTATAGCTGAATTATCAAACCAGTGTAATCTTTCCAGGTGTAAACGTTCAGTAATCCAGCAGGAAATGGAACTTTCATCTGGACACCAGAAAATGTGACTTGTGTTGACTCACTCTCTTATTTGAATGAAAAAGTGGGAAAAATGAAAAACTGATAATGTGATGTAGGCACATACTTGTATGCGCAGGTATTTAACCGGGAGCACGCAAGCTGCGCACAAGTGAATGCTAGCGTGCTCCATCGCCAAAGTGGTTCATCATTTTGATGCGATAGCGGTAGGGAACTCGTGTCGCAGAAATGTCGGCGTCGGCACCATTGGTTGTGAGCAAAAAATTGAGAAAGAAGCATATAACATAAACAATGAAATTTTTGGTCTCACTCAGGATCGAACCCGTGCCGTTCGCATGGCAAGCAAATGTCCTACCACAGAGCCACGATGTTACTTGCAGCTGCTTCGGGAAAAAACACTACATAAATGAGTCCTTAAAAGTCAACTCCGGCGATTGTTTGACCATGTCAGAATAATGGTGCTTTTATGTTTCTTAGACACTCTTCTCACGTGCCCACTAACTGAAATGCTAAAAAAATTCGAAAATAATTTTTAATTACAGAAAAACCGAGTGTGCGTCTGTGTGATGTAAAGATTTGCCTGACGCTGCCGGAACTTGCCTGATTCCACACAATGCCCGCTAGATGGCACTACCTGTCCACGCCGTCCGTGGCGATCAGTTAAAACGCTTACATTGTTATGGTGAATATAGGGCGCATCGTGTGTGGCTCACAACGCAACACCAGCTTGGCACCTATCGCACGCCCACCAACACCGAAAAGGAATCGCACGCTCAACCAAGGAAGCACCGGCCGAACCCACACAATCCATAGCAGACAAGCAGACGCTGCAGTGGCGCATCAGTTCATCACTTCCGCCAGGCAAAACTCAACGTCACCCATACAATGTTGTCATTAATTCTGGAAAGCAAGGTGAGCGTTTCGAGGCAAGCTATAAAACTCATTTGAAAAGAATCTGCGAAACTCTCAAGCCTGCAATTTGGCATGAATGTGCACAACGTGCAAATGAATGTACCCAGAGAATTTCATTGAGATCCACTGACCTCTAAAAATCACAGGAGTTGGCCTTTAACGCATTTCGTTCAACAGGTGTCACGGCGAAAACGAGCCCATTCGGCAATCTGTAGGTGCATTTGGGAGGCCATCAAACTACGTCGAAAAAGGCTGGAATAGTGTAGCCATCGCCGCTAAAAAACGCAGGAACTTTCAAACAGCTATAAAAATGGACAACTATGTCCATCTAGGGGAAAACATATCATGCCTTTCCAGAGGTGTAGTCGAGACGTTGATCAAGCAAATGCTATATAATGTGCTGCCATCTGTGAGGCATTATGCTGAGGGAAGTGGCCACACTGCACAGTCTCTGCATTACTATAAATATGTCATGCGTGCGTGCATGTGTTTGTGTGTGTTTGTAACAAAACACATTAATACGTGTGCACTTAGCGGTTGAAGGGGGCGCTAGAGGCCAGATTTTGCTAACGCGTTCAACTCTTAAAAGCGAAGCTTAAGGGTCCCCCAATTTTTTTATGTGGAAATGGTGGCGCTAACTTCTGGCACGTTTCCGTATGAAAATAAAGAACCACTTCCCTGAAGGAACGCACTGCACTTTTGTGTAGCTTGTCCACAGCTTGTGTGTTACATTTTACTTTTGGAGCTCCTGTACATGCACATAAAGTTCTTTCCTTTCAAACAAGATGTATAGCTGCCCATTTTTTTAGCATGAACGCTTGACCGTCGGCCGCTCACTGGATAAGTGGCGTTTAAGAGAGTACAGCGGCAAATGCATGCCTGCGATAAAAAGTCCTATGCAGCTGTCTTCAGCTAGGCTGTTCTGAGAACTGGACTCCAGGACGCCAGGAACAGTTGCTTACAGACTTGACAGTCGATGCTTGCATGTTTCGGTTAAAAACAAAATGGGAGGTTGTGCCTGCGGCATTGTGTAGACCAGTGATTAAATGCAGTGGCATAACACGCTAATTAAAAAAGAAGAGAGTTCTAAGAGTAAGTCTGCTTGTGCTTTCATTTAACATGTGTGAAGGAGGATAATTTTGAGACCAGTTTTCATTGTTTTACACAACTTTAATGAGAAGCAGCATGATTATGAAGTCAACGAAACTAAAGGGACACATTAAATGCTCTTTTTATGTGCATTACAGTAATTGTGGTCAAGATGTGTGAAAATGTAGGGTGTATGGAAAGACAACTTGCTACCGACAAGGACCACAGCCTGCAACATTAGGATTATGCACCCGATGCTTTTGCCAATTAAGTTACAGCGGCAGTTATTTTCGTCATCCACTTTGTGGTGTGCTTATGTGAAAGCAAACCCTAGACAGCAGCTGCTCGCAGCCGTGATGGTGAATGTGGTGCACTGTTTTTGTGCCAGCTGCCGTCATGTAGCATTTGATCTTTTTTAACCCATTGGCTTACACACGCTCTCTGCGGCCATTCCTGCCTGGTATTTGATCTGAAAGTTTTCATGCCCTGGGGGCGTTGGCATGGATCGGTGCACATAAAACAGGAATAAAATTATGTAACCAACACATTGAACAACAATATCTGTTTTACTCGCTTAACAATGCTTGACTGCATCAGGTGCTTCAGTATGATTTTTGTGTGTAAAAAAATTTAAAGTACATGGGCATGTGAAGAGCAACTTAACATTTTTCACGCTCCCATCGGCTCTGAGACTTTCTGCCCAGTGCCTTACAAACTAAGCAAAGTCTTGATGGATTCTGCTTGACTTTGTTCGCCAGAATGTGGCGAGGAAAGTGAGCCCATTCGGCAGCTTGTAGGCGCATTGGTGTGGCCACGACAGGCGGGTTGCTTTCGTATTTGTCACGCTACTCTATGTTTCGAAAAAGCTGGGATAGTGCTCCGTTCGCCTGTTAAAGAAAAAAAAAGGCACACTTACAAACAGCTAAAAAACATGGACAGCTATTTCCATCTAGCGGGTGATATACCAAGCATAAGGCAAACACAAAACACGGTGCTGCCATCTATGAAAAATTATCAAAAATAAACATTTTCTAGGAGGCTGGCGATTTTCCGGTCAAAGCACTTTTGGCCTCGCCAATCCATCCGGCATATCGCCGGCTGCAGAAGCCAATGGGTTAAGAAGCGCACAGCTGGCCAACTTCATTCGGCTGCGTTATGTACTGGTTTTTCATTAACTATAAAACATGTAATTATAACTTTTCACATCCTGTATGAAGCTTGACAGCTTGCCTTTACTATTTAGAGAGTTTGTGTAGGCCTGGTTCCAGCTCATCAGCATTCCGGAATTCAACATATTAGGTGCTAAAAGCAGCATTTGTGGCAAGTGTAAACTTGCATTCAATTCAGCTGCACATCTCAACTTTGCATAGCTTTTTGTGGTAAGAAGTGCCTGGGAAAGAGCCGCTTAACTTTAATTACTTGAACCAATAAACTGAGCACTTTCGTGCATCAGTGCAGTGTTGTCCTTGGAGTTTCTGTAGATTCAGGTATGCGCTATACAGTGTCAGTGGCTCTATGTTAATCTGTTTCCACCCAGCACAGTCCATATTTGTAAGTAATCATAAACATTCAGCATGTCAAACCTGCCTAATTATTTTTGACTGCTTTGACGTTTCCTTTTTTTGCATGCTTTTTCACATGTGAATAGGTGGCACCTGAAGAGTTCAAGGCAACCATTATGCGCATAAACAGTGTGCTGCGCAAAACATTGCCAGTGAACGTGAAGTGGCTCTTTTGTGGGTGCCTTTGTTGCTGCTGCACTCTCGGCTGTTCCCTCTGGCCCGTCGTCTGCCTCAGCAAAAGGGTGAGCTTGTGGTCTTGCATCACAGCTGTGTCACAGTCACGTTGATCAGACAACTTCCCAAGCCTCGTTTCTTTGACGCGAAGTCTGACTTGACCGTTGCCTCGTGATCTGTGAAATTCCATCACACGTCACTTGTGTTTGCTTCAACTTAAAATATGCATATTCAGTGCACTATTTTAGCAATACTGTCATGACGTCAGAACAGAGGTCTTGCCGCAGAGATTGAGACACCAGAAGCAGGTCGGTTCTTTTAATAGAACGCGCAAGAGAGTTCTTCTTTTTCATCCATTTCATTGTACTTCATGGCACATGCACAACTGCCATTGTGTTTCTTTTTGACGAGCACGTGACAATATTGACGCAAGGCGAATGCAGTATTCAAACTACGCGCGCTAGTTCGTGCGCCCCCCAAGAGATCAGCGGCTTGATGATGAAACAAGAAAAAGGCGTGACGGCGCGCGCCTCCTCAGCACGGGATTTTGATGAAAAAGAAGTGGTGCACCGCTCGAGGGTTTCTCGGAGATTGATCCCCTTTCGCTGATCGCCTGTTAGAGACGCCGCTACATTTTCCTTTACTTTTCGGGCACAAGTTTGCCCCAATAAACAGTTATTCGTACACCATTTGGATTGTACGTAACATCTCTGGTGGAGGAGCCGGGTAATGATCCCAAACCCAGTTGGACATCGAGGAAGCAGCCCGGAACCACGAGCAGTCGAACCAACTGAGCTCACGCCAGTTCATCAGCGCTCCAGCCGTCGTCTACGTGGTGAGCCGCCGGAATTTCCCTTGCCACTAGAGCCCAGAGTGTCTCCAGCTGTCTCCGGTGAGAGTACCGAAATGTCGTCTCCAACCGCTGACGCACACGTCGTTTTGTCTCCAGTCACTGCCACGCACGTCGTTGTCGATGAGCCACGTACGCCCGACCCTTTTCATGGCGATCCTCATGAAGACGCCGAGGATTGGCTGGAGGGTTTTGAGCGCGTCCCCAACTGCTACGGATGGACCGAAGAACGGAAGCTCCGCCGAGTTTATTTCGCATTGCAGAACAGCGCACGAACGTGGTTCGAAAATCATGAAGGTACCATTAGATCGTGGGATGATTTCCGACGAGAGCTACTGGCCACATACCCGAGTACAGACCGCAAGGAAAGAGCTGAAGCTGCCTTGCAAGCAAAAAACCAGCGCAACAATGAAAGCGTCGCAATGTATGTGGAAGACATGTGCCAGTTATTCCGCCGGTCTGATCAAAATATGAGCGAGGACAAGAAACTTCGGCACCTGATGCGTGGGGTGAAGCAGGAGATTTTTGCTGGTTTGCTCCGATGTCCCCCGCGAAACGTGACTGAATTTCGCACCGAGGCGACAGCGGTTGAAAAGACTCTGCAACAGCGAGCGAGGCACTACAATCGAGATGTTAACGTCGCATTCGTAGACGCAGTGTCAGCAGTCTTCGGGAATGGCATCGACGTATTACGAGAACTCATTCTATCGGTGGTTCGAAAAGAGCTCCAGAAGCTAAACGGCAACCCCTCAACGGTCTCGTCATTAGCGGAAGTTGTTCGGGAGGAGGTTAGACAGGCAGTCCGTGAGCATCAGCCACAAGCCCAGCCTGTTCAAGCGTCGGTTCCGATGCAGGCCGCAGTCTCGTACGCCGAGGTACTGAGAAGCGCCCCTGTACCTAATTTTGTCGCCCCTGGACCTCCTTTCGCCGCCCCTGGACCTTATTTCGCCGCAGCAAGCACGCATCTGCCGAAACCTCGGTTTACGCCGTCCCCAGCCGAGACTAGGATCCGAAAAGCTGATATATGGCGCACTCCTGATCGAATTCCGCTTTGTTATCACTGCGGCAAAGCTGGCCATCTTTACCGGATGTGTGAATATCGCCGAGCTGGACTTCGGGGTTTTCTCGTAAACGCTTCCTGTCCACGGAATGGGGAGCGACCTTTTGAAATCGAGGAGTACTTGTCAACGCGTCAAGGTAGTCACTCCTCGCAGCAGCATCAGTCTCGGTTGACAGCGCCACTGAGGTATCGGTCACCAAGTCCGCGCCCATCTTCAAACTCTCCGAGGCGACTTCCCCAAAGCCCGCTTCGGGAAAACTAGGATCGGCGACCTGGGGAGGTAAGGCCGCTGCCGACGCAAGAAAACAATCTGCAGTGCCGATTTCAAAATGTGATGATGGACACGAGACTACGTGCGGAAACGGTAACGTCGCTTCTGATTTGTCGGTAATTATAGACGGCTACGAAACGAATGCTTTGGTAGACACAGGCGCAGACTATTCCGTCATGAGCAGGGGACTTGCCAGAACGCTAAAAAAAGTGCTGACCCCTTGGAAAGGACCACAAGTGCAAACCGCCGGGGGACACCTTATCGATCCGGCAGGCATGTGTACCTCTAGAGTCGGGATACGCGGCTTCACCTACGTCGCCAGCTTCGTTGTCCTGTCGGAGTGTTCAAGAGATGTAATTATCGGAATGTACTTTTTGCAGGCCAATGGCGCAGTGATAAACTTGCAGGAAACGTGCGTCTCGTTCTCGACGAAACACGCCATCGCGACATTCGAGAGTGAAAAACGATTCGATGCGCTCCAGATTGCAGGTGATGATGTAACAGTACCTGCAAGATCCATCATCGTTGTCACCGTAAAAAGCAATGTGTACAACGACTATGAAAAAATGGCAGAAAGCAATACTGGGCTATTACTCGAGAAAGGGATCGGTGCAGCAAGAGGTATTGTACGACTGCGTGATGGGTGTACGAGTGTCTTCCTGACAAATTTCCGAAATGAGGTGCAGCACCTTGCGAAGGGAACTGTTGTTGGTCACTTGCACGATTACGTTCCGATTACGGATTTGAATTCTTCAGAGACTGCACCACTGCACCTGATGGTATAGATTCCATACTCGCATCTATCCACATCGAAGCAGCCCTATCACCGAACCAGAAACAAAAAATCGAGAGCCTTATACGGGAATACGCCTCATGTTTTTCCACGTCATCGAAAGTGCAAAGATCATCTATCATCAAACACCGCATCATAATCGATTAATCTGTTAGACCTATTTGCCAGCACCCGTACCGAGTGTCACCAAAAGAGAGAGAAGTCATCAGAGGCCAAGTTGAAGAAATGCTCAGGGACGACGTAATTCAACCGTCGGCCAGCCCATGGGCCTCACCTGTAGTACTGGTAAAGAAAAAGGACCAGACCTTGCGCTTCTGTGTTGATTACCGAAAATTGAACGTCGTCACAAAGCAGGATGTCTATCCCCTTCCAAGGCTCGATGACACCCTTGACCGACTACGAGACGCGAAATTCTTCTCCTCTCTAGACCTCAAGAGCGGATACTGGCAGATAGAGGTGGACGAACGAGATCGCGAGAAAACTGCTTTCGTGACCCCAGGTGGGTTATACGAGTTCAAGGTACTCCCACTTGGCCTGTGTTCCGCACCCGCCACATTTCAGCGGATGATGGATACTGTGCTGTCCGGGTTAAAATGGCAGTCCTGCCTTGTTTATCTCGATGACGTCGTGATCTTTCCGGCCACCTTCGATCTGCATGTGGAGCGACTACGGACTGTGCTCGAAGCGATTAATTCAGCAGGGCTGACGATAAAACCCCAAAAGTGCCATTTTGGTTTTCATGAACTGCTTTTCCTCGGTCATGTGGTTAGCTCTGAAGGCATTCGACCTGACCCCGAAAAGACAGCAGCTGTAGAAAAGTTTCCTAGACCGACAGATAAAAGGGCTGTGAAACGATTCTTACGACTTTGTGCCTATTACAGAAGATTCATCAAAGATTTTTCGAAGATTGCGGAGCCACTATCTGACTGACGAAAGAAGACAGGCCTTTCACCTGGACAAGCGAGCAAAAAGAGGCGTTCAATGAGCTACGACAGCGACTCCTACACCACCCCGTCCTGGCAGATTTCCACGAAGAAGCCGAAACAGAGATTCACACGGACGTAAGCAATTTGGGACTAGGCGCCGTCCTTGTGCAGCTGCAAAACGGAGAGGAAAGAGTGGTCGCATATGCTAGTCGCTCTCTTTCGAGAGCTGAAATAAATTATTCGGCGACGGAAAAAGAATGTCTGGCGGTAATATGGGCCATACAGAAATTCCGACCGTACTTACCGTAATTACTCGAATCTAACGCGCACCTTTTTTCCGGTTAAGCGAGTTCATAAATCGCATGCGCGTTAGAATCGAGTACGAACAAAAAATTACGGTCAATCTATTGCCATCGCAAATCCAAAATGGCCGCCCCCTACGTGCGTCGGCATGGTGCGTCGGCTATTTCTGCCTATGTGTTTACCATGTGCGGCACTTCGTACGTGTGCTGAGGAGTTCGTCATCTAGTAGTGCATTAGCATCGACGACGTGAAAGGGCCGACTCCAAAAACTCAAGTGCACCACGATGCCGCTTTTAAAAGAAAAGTCATCGCGTGTGCAGAAACGGACGGAAGTCGGGCCGCATCGCGGTCGTTCCCGAAACGTGCGTGCGGGACCGGTGGAAACAAAAGCAGAAGATTGTCGACAGCAAAGCTTCACGCAAAGGCTTCAGTGAACCACAGCAGGGTCGGTTTCCGCAAATTAAAGAGCTGCTCCGCGAGTATGTGCTTGAGGAGCGAGCGGCACAGCGGCCCGTGACGACAGAACTGCTCCAAGTGCGGGCTATGCAATTAGTCTTAGAAAAAAGTCTAATGCGGAGCCAGTTTAAAGCGAGCAGGTGCTGGCTAATTAACTATATGAAGAGGAAAGGCTCTTCCCTTCGAAGGGGAACATGCATATGCGAAAACTTTTCCGGAGAAGTACGATGAAAAAGCTTTACAGTTTTCAAAGGTTCGTCCTAAACTTGCGGCGCAACAACGGCTACCTGCTTGGGCAAATCTGGAATGCCGATCAGACGCCTCTTTACTTCGACATGCCTGGCACCACAACTGTCGAGAAGAAGGGGCAAGCAAGTTCGCGTGCTGACAATCGGTCCACGGTAAAACTACAGTGACGGCAATGCTCTGTTACACGTCAGATGGGCACAAGCTTCGCCCGTACCTCATATTTAGATGGAAAACAATCCCGAAAGGAATCGTTTTTTCGAGTGGTGTGATCGTGCGGGCCAGCGAAAAAAAATGGGTGCGCGTTGCAATCGATGTCTTACGTTTTTTTTTTCTTTTCGCGGTGGAAATCGGGTGCGCGTTACAATCGAGGGCGCGGTAGAATCGAGTAAATACGGTATATGGTAGACCATTTCGAGCAGTGAGCGACCATCACTCGCTGTGCTGGCTCGCAGGCCTAAAGGACCCTTCTGGGCGACTTGCTAGATGGAGCCTCAGGTTGCAAGAATACGACATAACAGTCTTATACAAGTCGGGTCGCAAGCACAGCGATGCTGATTGCCTGTCACGTGCACCAATGGAATCTGCACCTGCACCTGTGGAAGATGGAGACGACTTTCCGTTTCTTGGGGCCGTCAGCACCGCAGACATGACTGAATATCAGCGATCTGACGCGGAGTGGCTTAAACTGATCAAGCATCTGGAAGGGCAACCCGTGCGTGTTCCTCGAGTTTTCGTCCGGTGATTGTTCTCGTACCTGATGAGAAACAACGTTATATACAAGAGAAACTTCCAGCACAGCAGGGAGAAATTCCTACTTGTCGTTCCTTCGGCCTTGTGACCCGAAATCCTGGAAGCCTGCCACGATGACCCAGCAGCAGGACACCTCGGAGTGAGTAGAACATTGGCTCGCATCCGCACCAAGTACTACTGGCCAAAGTTACTGGTTGCTGTACAGCATTATGTAAGGACATGTAGAGATTGCCAGAGACGCAAAACGCCTCCATTGAAACCTGCAGGATTTCTCCAACCAATCGAACCACCTGAATCTCCGTTTGAACAAGTAGGAATGGATCTACTTGGTCCATTTCCTACGTCATCAATGGGCAACCGATGGATAGTAGTGGCGACAGACTACTTAACCCGGTATGCCGAGACAGCCTCTCTCACCAGGGGCACGGCTATAGAAGTAGCTGAATTTTTCGTCACTAACATTGTACTACGGCATGGTGCCCCAAAGGTGGTTATCACGGATCGAGGAACTGCATTCACAGCCAATCTGACTCAGTCCATTATGAAACTTATCCACACATGTCATAGGAAAAAAACGGCTTACTACCCCTAAACGAATGGGCTAACCGAGCGACTCAACAGAACTCTAGCCGATATGTTGTCCATTTACGTTGACTTGGAGCACCGTACGTGGGACAAGATACTGCCATACGCCACTTTCGCTTACAATACTGCTGTGCAGGAGACTACTAAAGTGACGCTATTCCAGCTAGTCTATGGTCGAGTAGTTACCACACCATTAGATGCAATGCTGCCTGTAGGCGACAATACAGAGCACAAGCCTGACATCAGCGAATTCATTCAGCGAGCCGAAGAAGCACGGCAGTTGGCGCGACATCACATAAAACAACAACAACGCGTGGATGCAAACCGTTACAACCTTCGTCGGAGAGGAGTCGACTACGCACCAGGCGACCTAGTTTGGATTTGGACTCCCGTGCGGACGCCTGGCCTTTCAGAAAAGCTCATGCGCCGCTATTTCGGCCCTTACCGAGTCCTTCGTCGCGTCAGCTCCTTGAACTACGAGGTGTTACCGGAAGGACAAGTGAGCTCATCAAGATGCCGAAGGAGCACAGAAATCGTGCATGCAGTCAGAATGAAGCCATACTATGACAGGCAATGAACATCGAACTATACACACCCGATTATGAGGAATACCTATTTCTCCAATGGAAACCACGCATTCAGACCATCTCAGCAACACTGCTTTTACGCATCGGGACGATGCGTTTTTGAAGGAGGGATAATGACGCAAGGCAAACGCAGTATTCAAACTACGCGCGCTAGTTCGTGCGCCCCCCAAGAGATCAGCGGCTTGATGATGGAACAAGAAAAGGCCGTGACGGGGCGCGCCTCCTCAGCACGGGATTTTGATGAAAAAGAAGTGGTGCACCGCTCGAGGGTTTCTCGGAGATTGATCCCCTTTTGCTGATCGCCTGTTAGAGACGCCGCTACATTTTCCTTTACTTTTCGGGCACAAGTTCGCCCCAATAAACAGTTATTCGTACACCATTTGGATTGTACGTAACAATATTATGCTAGCACATTGTTCGAAGGGAGTCCGCCTCGGTGGGTCAGTGGCTAGGATGCTCGGCTACTGACCCTGAGGTCACGGGTTTGATCCCAGCCGCGGCGGTGGCATTTTATGGAAGTGAAACGGTAGACACCCTTGTACTGTACGATGTCAGCGCATGTAAAAGAACACCAAATGGTCAAAGTCTTCGGAGCTTTTCACTACGGCATCTGTCATAATCATATCCTGATTTTCGGGCTTAAAGCCCCACATTTTATAATTATTGCTTGGAGGAAATTCCAAACAAGCCGGTTCTAGAAGTTATTTTTAATAACTCTGACTGCTATGAGCAGTGTTACTGACATGAAAGTCATTCTAGAGCACCCTTTGCTGGTTACTTGCAGGGATATGTCGAGATTGCATTTATTTCACGAAATACATCACCGTAATCGCTATCTCAGATCTCTCTAGATGAGACTACCTCCTCACATTTTGCATTGAGTGGGGGAGCTGTTCTTGATGTATCAATCTAGTGGACGTATCCACTCAGCGGAATGCATTCAGTTACCCAAAAAAGCAGTGATCTGCAACGTTGCGGCACTCTTGACGATGTCGGCACACCGAACCCACCAGCACATTCCTAGCGTAAAAGAAAAAAAAATGGCAGTGGACAAAATCTAAAAGCTTCACAAGTCTGAACTTGTGTATCAACGTGTTCAGATGTTTGAGAACAATGCAAGGAATGTTTACCAACCTTCCAAGTGCGTCAGGCTGGCGGTCGCAGCAAAATTAATGCATGGACTAACATGATTCATGCACAGCCTCCCAGATGTGTGTTTTAAAGTGAACCTCTAGTGGCAATATTCGTTGGGTTGAAACACATTCCATCCTTGATGTTAAGATGACAGTGTGAAAGATAGACTGGAAACTGGGGATACGCTGTTAACTGAGCTCCAGCCAATCAGGAGGCCAAAGATGATAACTGACAGGGTGGTTATATAGAGAATCACAACCTAGGTCATTGTGATAAGCTCATCATACCGCATCACTGTATGGTTGTTTAATCTCGCTTGTTTATGTGATCAAGTCATGACTGGAATCGCTTACCAATAGAATTAGTAAACATCATTAACCCTATGTCACTTTTACATAGCAGCACAAGCCAGCATTACATGATCTACCTCACCTCTCTCTGAATTTTGTTTCATGCTTTAGTTGTTGTATATGCATAATAATTTGCTTGAACTACTTAGTAATGAGACGCTCCTGTGTTTTGCTTTGCTTCTTTGCTTGATATGTTAGTTTCTGCTTCTATGTATTTTATACAGTGGTCTTGTACTATACTAAACAATGGTATTTTATTCCTGTTATGTCATCATTTATACCCCCATTTTGTGTGTTTCGGGAAGGATTCCTGAGAATATATGTATAAACACACACATACTTGTGCCTTGAAGACTTTGGTCAAGCTGGGAAACAAGTGTGAAAAGTGAGAACACATGCATCACCTACTTCCTACTGGGCTTTGCTTGTGAAAAGTTTGCAAGCTAAAGATTGTAGCAGAATCAACTACTTGGCACTCACTAATTATCAAGTCAAGAACACCTCCATGTAACAGTAAGCGTTGTTCCTCCCAGCATGTTATAGTCAACTCCATTCAACCCTTGTGGATTCATTGATGAACATGTTGATAATAACAGAAAAGGGAAAGAATATCCTGAGCTGCACACAGATATCAGATTTTGCAAAGGGCTTTTATTGGAGCACATTCAAGACACTGATCTGAGGTCATTAGTTTGAAGGGTAACCTCTGTGTTGTGTTTACCTGGGCTGGTCGCTTGTGTCTTGGTGGGATGGCTCAAGCCACAATAAGGCCATAAATTAGGCTGTAGTAGAAAAGGAAAAGAAAGTAAACTAAAAAGAAATTTCATTAACTGGAAATATTAGAGGGGTGATTTTTTTTTCTTAGTGAAATGGTGACAAGAAAGTTTTAGTTGTTGCGATCGGATGAATGCTGTGTGACTCAGATGAGAGGAGAAGACACAGGTAAATAGAGACAACCTTTTTGTCTGTGTCTTTGTCGTAGTCGCATTGCATTTGTCCAAGTACGTGCTAATTTACTCATGTCGAGGCATTCTTGTTATAAATTTTAAGGGTCACATTGAAAACAGGCACTATCAGATCCTTAGTTGCTGTAGCTGGCATGTTCATTGTCGTACCCAGTGAATGGCTTGCAGTCGCTGGGCTGCCTCTCTAGGGGAAAAATGGTGGTACCACACCTGGAAACGTGAACCTAAAACGTACTTCCTTGTCCCACTCTATACAAATAGCTAAACCTATGCACACACACAAAAAAAGAGATATGCAAAAGTATATGCACATCGAAGCAAAGCACAGTGTCTTGTGTATTTTCACGTACAAAAAAACAAATAAGAAAAGATAATAGGAAATCTTACAAGTTTGACGCCATGTGCATTGATTATGCAAGGCTGTATCTAACTTACTTCACCACTTTTTTCATTGCAACAGACACGACACTCAATAGAGAAGGTCTTGGATTGGGAGAATAGCCATCTTTATCACAAGGTGAGATCACAAGCCACTCTTATTTGCAAGAGCATTAAATCTTTATATTTGTGTGTGTGTGTTGCAACATCTATGTATTGAACTGAAATTTTGTAAGAATGGAAGAAAGACAGGTAATGTTATTAAACCGGTAGTACTGTTGGTACTAAAGAAGAACTTATTTCTAAATATCCTTGTGAAGTGTAGCACAGTGAGTATGCAAGTTCAATACGGGCTCATTGGTGTTTTTTGGCACTGTACCTCTTATCCTAAGGAGAAGAAACTATCATAAATGGGTCTTTTCTTTTATGCCAGTTTTTTATTTGTGTAACAGTGGCTTGTTCAGGGTGGGTTGATTGGTTCACGGATAACATTGCTCTATACTTTTCAGACACTGTGACTACAATTTTGCTTTATCACACAATAATTGCAATAATAAAAAAATTAACTATTAAAATGTTAAAAAATATTCACTTTTACTTGTATCGAGCAATTATCTAATCATTTTAAGAGTACTATTTTTCTTGTCGGTTTCTTATTCAGTGGCTTAGTTGTTAGTATGCCAATCAGTTAAATCAGGTTTCATGGTGCAAAGAGAACTCTAAGGTATAAAATCAATAAAAATCCATAAAAAAGCAGCCATAAATGTATTTCCTCAACAGGAAAATTGTTTCACTATTTAGCTCCTTAAAGGGGCACTAAAGGCAAATATTAAGTCGACGTTGATTGTTAAAATGGCAGTCCAGAATCCTCGTAGTAATATTTTGTGCCAAGGAAGTGCTTATCTAGAAATAAATTCATGTTTTAGTGGTTCACATCGCGTTAGTGCACTTCTAATCACCCGCTTGAAAGTGGTCTTTTTGACGTCACTGTTGCCGTGCCCAACATTGCCCACCCTTACTGTGCGGCCTCTGACACTAGTATGAGCAGAATGAAAGTAACGGAAGCCACAAAAGCAGTAATGGCTATTCAACAGTTTTCTGTTTGGTTCGTGTAACTGGGCACTACTAGATGGCGCCACATATCCAGCCTAACCTAGCCTAAGCAGGCGAAAACGGAACTTCTCAATCACTCGCGCCATTCCCCTCATTAACCCCAGGCGGTTCTGTTGTCTATAAATCAAACATAAGCAGACAAGCACTATTTTATTACGTCATCTTAGTTCACTAAAGGTTATTTTTTATTGCAGCTAGTTTGATTACTAGTGATTAATTGTAGTCGGATGCTCTCACGTCATCGGGATCATGTCCAAAATGTCCCACTCGTGGCGTACATAGCTTGATACATTTAGCTTAATTTCTCGGTAAGTGGGGCACTGCTGTCGATATTGCCGTTTTAATGTCATACATTAAGCTTTCAATCTGACATGAATTGTTATTTCTGTTAGTGTCCCTCTAAGAAAGATGGTTTTATTTCATGTCAACTTCAATATTTGTAGTGTAAGCATCACTTGAGCACCTGGTAGCCATGTCCACTGATAGTTTCGACAGCTGTACAAGTATGTGGAATATATTTATCAGATATGGGTGAATGCTAGGCAGTGTTCCGATGTTTTGTGGCCGTTTTCAAGAGCTATGCTGTTAAATGGTATATAAAAAAAGAAAAGATGTTCATGCAATGTTGTTGGCAGCTTGGACTGCACTGGAAGCTTGGAAAACAGAGGTGTGACTCCAACAGCATGATGGAATATGTGAGTAAAATTTCTCACCATGAATATATGTATGAATGAAATTATTGTGTTGTGTGTATAAAGAGATGTCTTATACCACCAGTCTATATTATGCTGCTCATTTTGTTAGACTTATGCCCCTGACACACGGGCACCCTGAAGTCCTTTAGACAAGGGGACATCTTTCGGAAAGGCGTTCGGGCGCAGTCACACACGACAAAGGAGTAACTCCTTTCCGGCAAAGATCCTTTTCGCAAAAGCAGATCCCGCATCTGCTTTTCTGGCAGGAAGGGAGTACTCTCGCATACAGTGTGCATAATTTATCAATAGAAGAAAACGTGTCGCAACATTTCGGTGGCCTGTCAGTATTTTTTTGCGCTGAAAAAATGTTTTCATTTTCTGCAGCAGTGCGATTTGTTGAAAAGTGAAGGCCTATAGTCTGTCCATACTCTCAAACGCCTGCATTACGTCACTAGCGCGATCATGTTAGGGTTGGCAGCGGCAGTTGCTGTGTCGGCGACGTAGTATCTTGTAACAATGGAGTCGGCTCAGTCGGTGAAGAAAAATCCGCGCGTCCAGTGGACTGAAAAGGAGACCTGGGCGCTGATAAAGCTATGGGAGGACCATTTGGACGCCTCGCGAGGGCAAAAGCACAACGGTGGAGTGTACCAGGCGATTGCCGAGAGCCTCACCGACGCCGGTATTCCCCATAATGAAACGCGGCACACCGTCACTGACCCAGCTGGACGCAGCCATGTAAAAAGCACGACAAAAAACAAAGACAGCAAAACACCGACTGTTCATAGTTGCCAGACGAACTTAAGTTGCTGCTAAAAACGCAAAAAAGCGAAAGAAAATTACAGGTATGTGCAATATAGGCCACCAGACAATAAAAAAAAACGGTTTTATGCTCCAGCGTCGCTGAATGTGATGTACATGCGCAGATTTTTTTAAATATTTCCAATCTTGCTGCTTCCACAAACAGCGCCATTTTTTCTGCAGCGTTCTTCTGAGGCACCGCCTAAAGCAGTAGTCTGGTGCCGTGTGTCATCAGCGCCACTCCTTTCTGCAAATGGTCCCTTTAGGTGGCAAAAGGGGTTTACTTCAAAGTACTTTGCTTTTGCCCGTGTGTCACGGGTATTATGGTCAGTTGACTTATCGAGCTATAGGCGCTGCTTCAATGGGAGCAGTTTCGACAACAGGATTTCACACTCATTTAGTCCACAAGTTGTGTTTAGAAGGCTACTCTCTATGTTACTTTCTTTTCGGTAAGCGCTGGCACAGATGATAGCAGTGGGTGTTGTAATAGTAAAATCACTGCAGCAATGGGACCTAGAACATGTTCCAATCTTCTGACCAAACAATTTTTCATTCGCGAGATGTGGCCTGCTTCTGTTAGCTACAAGATGCAGTATTGCTAAAGAAAAAATTGAGATTGTTTTTGATTTGCAGATTTTCTAATATTTCAAGAATATGAATTACTTTTCTGGCTGCTCACTTGCTGTATAAGAAATTAAAGCAATTAAATTGTACATGTTGAAACTGCTTATAACTTTGGGTTTAGAAATGAAGAATTTTGTATAATATAGTTAATTGCTTTCTGCAGTATAGTCTAAAGTAGCTGTCCAGGGCACAATGTAGCACTTGCCAAATTTGTCTGCTTCTCTGCTGCATTTATGTTGCAATGTCCGCAATTGCAGTGAAACAGACTCGCTGCATACTCGCATTCATCTATGCTTTCTTGCTTCAAAATAATCTGTTTGTAGCTTTTACACCCTTCCTTAAGCCCGTGCTCACATAGCTGGTGTCTGCTCGCTCTGGGAAATGCAAGAGATCAGTTTAGTGGCTATGGTGATGCCCAGTTGAGCTTAATGTTGTTGGTTCAGTCCAGGTTGTGACAGCCACATTTCAGTGAGGGCATAATGCAAAAACACGCATGTGTTAAATGTTAGCCGCATATCAGGGAAACCCTTAAACATTTAGTGATGCTTATCATTTCTCTGTTACAGCATGTCTTTTAAACCAAGTTTAGCGCATGAAACTACACCACCTTTTTGAAGAGGCACTTATGTGAAACAATCAGTCTACTCGGATTGATGAAAAACACTCCGAGAACTGTAATTGCATTACTGTCACCATGAGAGCTTTATTAAAGCTGTAGAAAATCAAGGTCCAAGTTTAATTTTAGAGTTTAGTGCCGAAATCTCTGCGCATGACGTCACAGATTTCAAAGTGTACTCTTCGTACTTTGGCGACATTGTATCAACGAAATTTCTTGAAACTCGGTATTTCAAGTATGTCAAGTGAGCAGTAAGTCGATGCCCCCCCCTCTCCCCCAGAGGACCTCGTATTTCATTTTTATTCATTGGAAACTACGTAGGACCTCATTGACACCATCATAATCTGTGACGTCATGGTGTTTGGTGTGGGAAGTTGAAAATTGTGTCACCAGCTGCGTTTTATTTTTTCGTGTATCCTCTCTTACGAAACATCTTATCCTTGCAAGCTTGGTGATATGCAATTAGGGAGGAGCAATTTACTATTACAAGAAAATATTTTTTTTTTCCTCAGTGTCTCTTTAAACAGTCTGTCTCTCAAATACTTTATGAAAAAGTTCTGTTCTCATTTCCTAGGTGCTTCTTATCGAGTTCATCCCTAAGCTGGCCATTCATCGACCAGACTAAAAGCCGTCCAGTGTCACCACCATCGCATCCGGACCAAGGTTCGACAAAAGGCAGCATCACCGAGGGAGTGCAGCCGCAGTGAATCTCAAAAATGCCGGACGCTGCAGTGACGGTGCGCCTGCGGGCTGAAGACCGACTTTGGCCTGCACGGCAGGATGGTGTTTTTCCTGGCTGCAGTTGTGAATATGTGCTTGGTCTTGGGCTAGCCGCGCGACAGTGACACGGGTGGTTGGTATTCTATCACTGCACAGCCGAAAACGTGTTTGAGGGAGCACACTGCTGGTGTTTCAGAGGCCCTCATTTGCATAGTCATACGTTTCTGCATTGTAAACGTGTTTCGCCCATTTATATGTGTTGACAACAGTGGCAGTGCTGAAAGAGTGCCAACCTAGTTGGTTGGGCTGGGCACTGTGTCGAAAATCGCTGCCTGTCACCTGAACAAAACACTTATATAATGTGAATGTTGACAGCCAATGCTAAACCAGAATGCACATAGTGCAGATGAGCCGTGTCAAGTGGGAGCTCTGCCTGCCAACGATTGTACTCTGGAAATGAGGAAATGAACTTGTTTTGCAACTGTTTGGTACAGACAGCAACTTCTGTTATCACCACAGCTCCACAAATTGAGCGCAGGAAGAAAAAATAACATTACACTGGTGCCTTTTCAGCAAGGTGAACATAATGACCAACATCCTACTGCTTCACTGGTGCCCGTAGTGTGTTACCATTCACTGTAGTCAGCACTGTTACTTTGCAGCAAAGTGCATACTTTCACTGTAGCAGCTTCTAAGCTGTTTTTATGTCGCAAGCGTCAATGCGAGGCATTGGTGTTGAGAACGGGGAGCTGCGTGACAGTATCGTTGCTCATGCGAACATAGCACAAGCGTGTTATTTGCAGTCTGCTTTGGCTAACGTATTGTTATTGGTGGCAAGTTTTCTTGCTCTTTATAGAAGCAAATGCTCCTTTTTGCGAAAAGTTGCAGCGTTGCAAAATGAAAGCAATTTGTTTAGCTTTCGTGTAGACCGGTGTTGCTGGTGCGAATGACTTACGTGAGACGTATAAAAGTGCAATAGGTTGGTGCACAATTGTTGCACAAGTACCATGACAAGAGTTGGCTAGTTTGTTTGTAGGGATTGCATTTTTAGAATTTCAGGCTAGACTTTGGGACCCGGCTGTACCCAGGTACAGGGATATGGGGGCATGTTTATCTTCTTGTAATGTCTTTACTGGTGGCTACCTTATTCGAACTTTACTTAACTTTGTAGGTAGCCGCATACATTAGAACCTGGTCGATCATATTCATGCAATTTTGGTTCATGCAATTTCCCGGTTTTTACTCTCACATGCTGGAACAGTGAGAATGCATGCTTCAAACTGTCCTAGATACCAAAGTCATTGCCTCTATAAAATATTCCTCGTCTTTTTTTTTCCTTTTTGCAAAACCTGTCGATGCAGCAATTAGAATGGCAAATGCTGTTGAATATTTTTTACGAGGGCCTAACGAAGCTGTGGGGCAAAATTTTCTCAGGTATTGGTAGAATTCATTGCAACAATCATTGGACTTTACACAATCCTAAATTCAGTCACCAGTGCAAAAAAAGAAAAAAGAGAGAACAGTGTTTCTATGTCGCAAGATTTTTGCGCAGCTATATGCCAACTTATAACCATGCATTCATGCAAATCTTGTAGTTGTGGCGATACGTATTGCAGACAGTTCTACTCAAAGGAAAGGTTGGTCTATGTTCTGGTTGCTAGAGTAACATTAGAAGTGCATTTATTGCTCGGTAAATGTTATTCAAATATGCTATGCTGCCATCATAGCTGCATCAATTACGAGATACCTCGTCACATTGGCAGGCAGTACGACTGCTTAATATCCAGAACAGTAAGCTTCTGAAATATTGAAGTGCCGAACCGTATACTGGTTGTTTCCTTGGGATCTACACATCTCAGCAGTTGTGCATCACAAAAGGAAATGAACGACAACAACTATAGGCAGACATAGCTCATAGTTTATGAACTGTCAAAATACTGTGGGTGCCTGGAAAAAAAAAAAAAAGAGTGAGCAAAGCTTTTATGTTACTGTGTTCCTTATTGCTATATGTCTTATCACAGGAGTTGTAATAACATAATAAGGCATCATTTACCAACACCTCTACAGCACCAAAAAAGTCTGTTGGTATTTGTCATTTTTTTTTTTTTTCATAATCACTGTATACTAGTAATCGCTGTGCAACACCATTGCATTCAAAACCCAAGTGATGTACGACTGGTGGTCATAGTTATGTGCAATTCGAGCCTTAGTTTCATATTCTCGTTTACTAGAACTGATGCAAGAAGGTACAGGATTTAATATTTTTTAGTTGACATCATCAACAGCGCAGAAAGCTGTACTAACAGCAGTTTAAAGAAAGAAATAATCGTAGGTACAAAGCCAAGCTCGTAATGTGCATTGCCTTGAGACAACATCGATGACATAGTATATTGCGATAACTCTCTCTTCAACTCTTGTATGATATTTGTATATAAATTACTCAACTGATCAATATGCCACATTAATGAAGTTACAAGGGTGTGACAGTGTTGGGGCACCAGGAGCCTTGTGATGGCTTGAAGTACTTGATGGCCGATGTACTTTACTACATCATGCAATTGACTTCGCGAAATTGGGTACCAAAACGCGCTATGGTATCGCTGTTCTCTGTTCTGCGTACAACGCCTCATCCTCAGAGTTTCTGCTCTCTATTTATTGTTGGCACAATTTACCGCGTGATCTGACAGAGCTGGCAGACCTATGCATATCAAATAATGTGTTGAGATGTTGTGTATGTTTACTCCTTTCTTTTTCGCTTTTGTGTGCTTGGAATAAAATCCCATGTAAAGCGAAGCGTGCGTTTGGTGTTCAAGTACGTGTGGACTACGTTTACCTGAAGCACAACAGCATTTTAGGTAGAAATGATTAGAGTTTTGAGGTGCTCGATAGTCTGACATGCAGTAAAATGCAAAGGAATATTACTGCTTTCAGGGGGGTCATTATTTAAAAAAAGCTAGATCTGCTGTCTGCTTTTCCCTGCACTATAAGCTCACTGATGCTGGCATGTGTCGGGAACACACCAATGGATTGGTTTCGTAGAAAATCCTCATAATATGGTCTGGGCTTTGAAAGAAAATTGGACATGCGTGACACACTGTTCTTGCATCTTAATGCTTCCTCTACGTTATCTATTTTATGTATGGTGTGAAATTCTGCCTAACAAATGTGCTGATGCTGCTGGAAATTAAAAGTAAGCATTTTAGTCATAACACATAAAACACTTGATAAAATAGCCCCTACTAAATTTATAAGAGCTACCAGCTGCATCACACAAACTTTATTGCAATCCTTTCTAAAAGAGGAAGAAAAAATGTGCACTGAATGCTTAGTACATCGATGTTAGTAATACCTTAGTTAAGCAATAAAGAGGGAAAAGAAAAAAAACATGAGCAAGACATATCTCCTTCCCCCGCATAATCAACGTAATTATTTTGTACACAACTGAATCTGCACATTGCATATCCACATGAATGTTATTAAAAAGGACAGTCACTTTTTCTCAAGAGTTTGAAACTGGTGGTGCATGTAGAGACTAGAGTTACCTTGCTTTGAGCTTAACATATGGCACTTGTGGAACCTTTGTTGAACTGGAACCTTTGCTGACCTTTGGTAGCGCCGGTACCTTGTGGTGCACATTTAGCTCTTGTGGAAAGTCTCAACTCTGCTGTGCTTTCCAGGTGGCATATTTATCGGCTCTATTGTTTGTTGGTGCATGCTTTCAGAAAAAATTGAAGGCAAAAGAAGTATGCTATCTTTAGTACCTTGATGTTGACCAGTTGTGCTCACACAACACGCACTCGGTGACAATGTATTTGTGAGAATATTCCAGGTCTTGTAGCACACTTCACAAGATGAGAGTAAAAAAAAAAGGTTTTCATTCATAAGCTTGTGCAAATATTAGAGCACTTTCAATCGAGTTTTAATTATTGGAAATTTCAAAGCTTTCGAGATGAACGAATAAGGGTATATTGACAAGCTTGTAATTTGCTTGTAAATGTAGTTTTACTGCAGTAGAGGCGTGCTATGCCATGAATACACCTTTCTAGGAGAAATTTGCACTACCACGAAGCCCAACTTCGAGGTTAAGTGAACATGCATATTGCCCTTACTTTGATTCGTCATGTTTAAAGTTTCAGATCGTCTTATACCGGCTTATATGCTCCGAGTATAAGAAATCTTAAAACTTAACATATTTTACGTAAACTGTCACTTGCATTCTACTGAAAGTCAAATTATGCTACTATTCAGTTGCTTCCTTTTCCTTAAAACCAAGAAGAACGACATTTGCATGTACGCCTTATTTCAATTTTTAAAAATGGTAAACTTTCTTTATAGTATGTGATATGTGCCATTTGAGTTCAGCTTAAAATTATTAGACTAAATCGCTATTGCCGCATGTTGTTAGGCACCTGCTGAAGTCCTGCGCCGCTTCCTGCTGCTATGAATTCTGCCACACCAACGGACAAGCCAAACGCGCCAAGCTATAAATGCGCCATGCAACGCTGGCTGCACGTGTCACCACACCACGCGCTAGAAGAAGAACGCTGGCGGTTTTTCGAGGAGCAGCTCGAGGCAAGACGCAAGAGAAGTTGATGAGGTTTTCACTAGTGAGCTCACAACCTTTGTGTATTTAGTTGACGGGCACAAGTTTGCCATTAATAAATAGCTGTTTTAGCTTCCGGCGCTGTATTTGTTCATTACAAACTGGTGGAGATGCGGTGTATGATTCCAAGCCCATTTCAGGATAGGGAACATAGCCCAGAACCCCGAAGGTTGGAGCCAGCGCTGTTGACTCCTGTACACCAACGCACGAGTCGTCGCCTACGAGGTGAGCAGCCCGAGTTTGGTGCCCTCTTCGATTCTTCGAGACCAGTGGAGGACGTAAGTTCCGGAGCCCCTGCAATGGCCACCCAAGCGACTTCATTTCCATCTCATATCGTCATGGACCCGCCCCGCATACCAGAGGTATTTCACGGTGATATTTTCGAGGATTCCGAGGACTGGCTCGACGGTTTTGGAACGCGTTGCCAGACTGAACGGTTGGAACGAAGACAGGAAACTTCGCTACGTCTATGTGGCACTGCAAGATTCTGCGCGTACGTAGTTCGAAAACCACGAAGCTGTCCTTATTGTCGTGGGACGACTTTCGAAGAGAGTTTCTTGCTACGTACCCAAATACGGACCGCAAAGAAAAGGCAGAGGCCGCTCTTCAGACGCGAAACCAACGGAACAACGAGAGCGTCGCCATCTACATTGAAGACATGTCCCGACTGTTCCGCCGGGCCGACCCGAACATGGCTGAGGAAAAGAAGTTGCGGCACCTGATGCGTGGAGTGAAGGAGGAGCTTTTTGCAGGCCTGGTGCGTAATCCACCGCGCTCTCTTGCTGAGTTCAGATCAGAGGCGACCATGATAGAAAAGACCCTGCAGCAGCGCGCGCGCCAATACAACAGGGACGTAAGCGTCTCGTCTGTTAGCGCGGCGTCGACAACCCTCACGAGTAACATTGACCTCTTGCGTGAAATGGTGAGGGCTGTTGTAAGGGAAGAACTTCAGAAAATACAAATGACTCAAGCTCATCCAGTGATGTCCTCACTTGCCGACGTTGTGCGCGAAGAAGTGCGGCAAGCGGTTCTACAACCACAACCTCAGGTACTACAGCGCGCACAACCGGAGCCTTCGCACTCAGTTGTCGTACGCGCAAGCTGTACGACAGGACCTCGGACGCATGAATCGGACAGCTGCGACTGCTGTGATGCCTCCGACGTTTTTTCCGAGTACGCCGCTACCAATGCTGGAAGCAAGACCACGTAAGAGCGATGTATGGCGCACTGTAGACCGGCGGCCCCTTTGCTACCACTGCTGAGAAGCAGGTCACCTTTACCGGGCGTGCCAGTATCGTCGAGCGGGACTGCGTGGTTTTCCATTCAATGCACCATGCCCACGGAACGGTGAATGGCCCTACGAAATCGAAGAATACTTGTCTTCACGCCATTCACCTCAAGACACGCAACAACGGGAGTTGCGTTTGACAGCACCAATGCGCTATCGGTCGCCGAGTCCTCGTCCGTCATCAAATCTCCGAAGATCACGTTCACCTAGCCCGCGGCGGGAAAACTAGAGCCAGCGACCTCTGGAGGTGAGGCCGCTGATATACTGACAACTGAAGACCCTCCATTGTTAGCCCGACAGGACGATGGCAGTTACGCAACGACGGACAAATGCAGTAGTAGTGACGTTACCTCCGAGATATTAGTCACGATCGACGACGTCGAGGCCATTGCGCTAATAGACACTGGTGCAGGCTATTCCGGTGTCAGTAATGCTCTCGCAAAGAAGCTTAAGAAGGTGATGACTGAGTGGACCGGACCTCAGATACGTGCCGCTGGAGGGCACTTAGTTAGTCCCGTGGGGTTATGCACCGCAAGGATAGGAATAAGAGGATTTGTGTATGTCGGCAGCTTTATTGTGCTTCCTGAGTGCTCCCGGGAACTGATTATAGGCATGGACTTTTTGCAAACAAACAATGCAGTCATCGACTTGCAGGAGTCCAAGGTTTCGTTTTCTACGGAGAATGCCGTCGCCTTCTGTCATGCGGAGAAACCAATCGTTCTATATCTCCGCATTGTGGACGAAGATGTAGCCGTGCCGCCACGTTCCAGTGTGACCGTTCTTGTGAGGAGTGAAGTTCTTCGTGACTGTGACGGATTAGCGGACGGAAACATCGGACTGCTACTAGAAAAAGGACTTTGCGTGGCAAGAGGCTTGGTGAGCCTTCGTGATGGATGTGCGTATGTCCTATTAACTAACTTTCGAAATGAGCTGCAGCATGTTGCGAAGGGAACATCCATAGCATCGCTACATGAGTACGTGCAAGTCTCAGATGCTTGCACTCTTGATAAAGCTTCAGAGACAGTAGATAACATCAGTAGACATTGACAGAGAGCTCTCGTCATCTCAGAAGCAATAGATTGCTGACCTCATCAGAGAGTTCGCCGAGTGCTTTTCCACCTCGTCGAAAGTCGGACGTACTCCCGTCGCAAAGCACCGTATCGTGGTCGAAGAGCACGTGAGACCTGTGCATTAGCGCCCATACCGAGTAGCGCCAAAAGAAAGGGAAGCCATCAAGAACCAAGTGCAGGAAATGCTCAACGATGATGTAATCTAGCCATCCAACAGTCCGTGGGCATCACCGGTAGTGCTAGTCAAAAAGAAGGACAACACTCTGCGGTTTTGCGTTGACTACAGAAAGCTGAACCAAGTCACAAAGCGTGATGTTTACCCACTTTTACGGATCGATGATGCCTTGGATAAGTTACGCAATGCTCACTTCTTTTCATCATTGGACTTAAAAAGTGGATATTGGCAGATCGAGGTGGACGAACGAGATTGCGAGAAGACGGCGTTTGTGACCCCAGACGGACTATACGAGTTCAAAGTGCTCCCTTTTGGTTTGTGCTCTGCTCCCGCTACCTTCCAGAGGATGATGGACACTGTGCTCTCCGGACTCAAGTGGCAATCGTGTCTCGTCTACCTCGACGATGTAGTGGTTTTTCTTCTACCTTCGAGCAGCACATCCACCGACTGAGAATGGTACTGGATGCCATTCGCGTGGCAGCACTGACCATCAAACCGGAAAAGTGTCACTTTGGATTTCGTCAGTTTCGGTTCCTCAGGCACATAGTTAGTGCGGAAGGCGTCCGCCCAGACCCGGAAAAGATTGCAGCAGTTGAAAATTTTCCGAAACCGCAAGACAAAAAGGCCGTCAGACGATTCCTGGGACTATGTGCCTAC